CTTTCAGAACATCAGTAAATCTTTCTTTAAGAGCAATCACTGCTTCTTGCTTTCCTACCCAGCGAGTAGGATTGAATGCTTTCTATGTAATCTCTGATTTTGACTCTGAACATGTTCTCAGATTTTCCCGTTATACAATACTAAGACTAAAAAAGTTGTACACATTTTGAACTGTTTTAAAAAATGGCCAACTTTTTCTTTTTGCCTCTGCTGAATCCTAAAGCAGTGTTCCCCAACCCCCGGTCCGGTCCGTAGATCAAATGGCACTGGGCTGCCCATTTCATTGAAACTGAATTTAAATTCCTAGGTTTATACCCCAAATTAAAAATAAATCCCAGATTAAGAATAGTTCCATTAAAATTTTATTTATTGAAAAAAAAAGGGGCCCCCGAAGGTGGTGACATAAATTTTTTAAAAAGTAAAAAAAGAAAAGAAAACCACTGCAACTATTTTCTTTTTCAATTAAAAAAAATCAATCATCATAACTGTAAATATCATAAATAAAGCACGAAAGCGGAGCGAGAAATTTACATTGGAACTAATGAAGAAGAAAACAAAAACAAAACTTCGTCTTCTCTCTCGATTGTGACTAATTGATTTAAGTAAGTTAAAATGTTAAATCCCTTTATATTTATTTTTTGGTGTAACTGTATTTTATTTTGAAGGCATGTTTAAATACAATTAAATTAAATCTAAATCTGAAATATAAACAATCAACGTCCCCCCCAGAGCGGGCCGCGGTAAAATTATCAAATGTTGACAGGTCCGCGGTGATAAAAAGGTTGGGGAACACTGTCCTAAAGGACTAAGTTGAGATTGTAGTAGCACAATGAACATAATAAGCATGTGGTGTGGATTGCTTTAATTTCTGTTTAATCTAACTAAAAAATAATTCTAAACCTGTAACAATTAAGCATGATATATCAAATAATGATAGAATAGCAAGAAAAAAAAGAGCTTAACTAGATTTTAAATAACATTTAGTTGAGTCAGGAAACATATATAAACCAATCGTAGTTAAAGTTTAGTGAACTAGAAAAATGCAAAAATAAGTGGAATGGAAAAAAAAAAATGAATTAGATTAAAACTTGATTAAGGAGCCGAAATGTTACATTGTTCTCATGGTTTAACTATTCGAAGCAAGTTTTCCAAATATAGTAATCTCCTAAATTTCAAAAATCCAAGAAAAAAAAAGTTTTTAGGTAATTTTTTGTTTGTTTGGATTTTTTTTTTAAATTTTGGATTTTTCCAATACAAAAATGTTATTATCTTACTTAAGGTTTCTATCTAGCACCTTCATAATTTGTCATCTTTTTAGGATGATGAAATAAGTTCAGATCTACATGATACTGCGGAGTATCAAGAGTTACTCCTGTACAAAAGACTTCTTAAGAAAAGAATAAAGTCATCCACTATGATGCAACATTTTGGATTTAAGGTACTTATTCAATAATTTTTCTTTTTTTTAAAAATAAATAAACATAAAGATTTAAACTCACAACATATTAACTCATCCATATTTTACAGTGCAAGGTGTGTAAATCAGAGCCTATTGTAGGAATAAGATACCACTGTGTAGAATGCAATCCTTCAATAGATCTTTGCAAAGACTGTTTTAAAAAGTAAGTCTTACTAATTAATTACTTAATAATGTTAGTAGCAAAATTCTATTTGTTGGTATCAATTCTTTCCTGTTTTAATTAGAACAATATAAATTTGTCTTAAAAGTTTTAAAAGCAAATTGTTATAATTGATGTACATGATACTTGAAATTTGTGTATGGCTCCTAATCAAGTTGAAGTGTGCTAACTCATTTTCTTATTTTTGAATTAAATTATAGCAGGTTTCTAACCTTTTTCTACAAAAAAAATATTTCACTCTTTTTTCTTTTATTAAATAAACTTACACCTTAATATGTTTTTTAATGAATTATTAATCCATATTTAGAAGAAAAAAAAGAAAACGTTTGAAGTGGAACCTTTGTTTGAATTTTGTTGTATAATTTGAGTATTTTCTTAGAATTTTTTAAAATTGAGGAGTGCTAACACATTTTCTTATTTTATAATAAATTATAGCAGGCTTCTACCCTTTTTTTTTAAACTAAATAAACTTACATTTTAATATGTTTCTAAATAAATTATTAATCCATATTTTGAAAAAAGAAAACATTTGAATTGAAACCTTTGCTTGTTTGAAATTTATTAATCTTATTTAATTGTTTTGTTAGAATTTATTGAAATAAGTTTAAAAAATTGCAACATTCTGTTTTGAGTTTTATATTATTTTTTAAAAAAGGTATATATAAACAATACTTCTCAGCTGTTAAATATTAAACACACTGTGAACTAGAATTGTCTTATTAACTTTGTCACGCAATATGTTGCTTGTTGTCTTAGTAAATAATCCATTTTAGGTGCTAGTTAAAAAAATAAAATGTTGAGGTTTTTGAATCATTAACCCTAATTTTTTTATGTCATAGCTTGGTGTAGACAAGAATTGCAGTTCCAATTATTCCCTAAAGCATTTCTTAGCACTCCTAGTTAGAGTTTATCTATTACTTTGTATATTTTACTTGCAACCAACATAAATTAAGCATAAAAAACATTCAGTTCTGCTAATGCTAAGATATTTACAAGTAATTAGACTTGGTTATTTATTTTTGGTATTTGCTAACATTAAATTTCTTAATTACCTTTAAACTATAACCATTGTTTCTTTCAATCTTTTAGTTCCCCAGAAATTGGCGAGCATACATCTGATCACCAGATAGAAGAAATTCATCATTCTAATGCTGGGTTTTTAGACAGAGACTACATGCATTTTCTGGGCAATGATTATAACTATTTGGACCCTAATTACATGCCAGCTGCTTAATATTTTGTACACTATATTTATTTATTGTAATAAAATTGTAAATAAGATTAATATTCCATTCTCATTTTAGTAAATAAAAATCTGATCACATAATATACAAAATGTTTCGTTCAAATGCAGATTTTTTAACTTGAATTACATACATTTCTAAGTAATAATTTATGACTACTTAAATCAGACGCTAACTACATGATAGCTACAAATTATTTTATTCATTACTTAAACGTAGATAAATTTAATATTTTTATTCTCATTTTATAACCGATTTGTTAATTCTTTTCANTTGATCACAGAAGTTTCCGGAAATCAAATTTTCAAAGGTGGAACTTAAAAACACAGTTTATTTTGTTTGTAAGGGAGAGCCAGATACATTTTTTATTAGTAAATAGTTATAATCATAAACTGAAGAAAGAAAGACATATTTGTAAATTTTAATTACTTCTGCAGGTCATCATAGGTATGTGTAAAATTTTAAATATATTTTAAGTAAACTGAGAAATATTGAGAAAGAGGAAAAAACCTTGTTTACATTTTTTTCTAATTTTTCAATTTAAACTGTGTTTTTTTTTTTTTTTTTTTTTNTTTTTTTTTTTTTTTTTTTTGTTAACTCAAGAAATTTTCCGGAATTTTGACTTGGGCTCACAATCACCCCTGTAATAGTATATTTATAAAATTAATATGGTACATTATTGTTATATTTTAATGTTTCTGTCAAATAATTCTTTTCCTCCCTTATTTAAAAAAAAAAAAATCTATTGAAAAGCGTTGATACCAACTATTATTACTTAACTTTGTGTTCTTTTTATCATTGTATATTTTTAACTCTGAAATCTTGTTTCTGAAAATTAATTAGTTGAGCATATTAAATATTAATGAACTCTTCCTACTTTTTTTAAAATGTGTGTGTAAATAAGTTCTCCCTAATGATGATTTAATAATCAAAATTTATTCTTAAAAAATATCGTTTAAAGAGCTTTCTATGCATGGATAATAAAACTAGATATAGGAAGTGGTAGTTGAAATTATCTTACCAATTAAAAGTTTTAATTTTATTTGTTTAACTATAGATTTTATTAATCTTTATTATTCCCAATAATGTGAAGGGGAAAATAATGGTTTTGTTTAACTAATAAATAGCCAAAATGTGACATAAAATTCAAAAGATAGCGATTTTTTATTTTATTTATTTAATGACTCTAATTTCCTTAGTTCAATGTTACCTTATCTTGTCTTTCTTTTTGGGGATCTGTTTAAGAGTGTTGTTCTGTCGATTACGGATATCAAATGAGCTTATCTATAGTACTAACAAAATTCTTACGTTTGTTTATTTTTGGGGTTTCTTTGTTTAGACCTTTATAGTGAATGCACATTTGTCACCCAGGGAGCGGAGTTCATATTATTTGTTCTCCTATGCTGATATCTGTGTGTAATGATTACTGTGATTGTCATATTTGTCTTTCATTCATCATCATATTAAGTTTATTTGTTGCATAATTGATGATAGTTCATGTATTTTTCGTTGTATCATATTTATCTTTAAAAATATGTTGAAACGATTATGAGTGTGTACACTTTCTACTTTATAAAGTTACCATCTGTCTCCAGTGAGCGAATCGTCACAAGACTTATTAGTTACCTGTTGAAATATTTTACGAATAGCAGTGTTAGTTAAAATTTTAAAATATCTCACTAATAAAAAGATTTCTGAGTAATGAACTTAGTCACACTTAGCCTCAAAAAAGCCCTGCTTTTGATCTATAATATTAGACGTCAATACTCTTCTTCTTAGGTTTTTCTTTGATCTTAGATGATGCTTTTCTGGTGTTTCTTTATACTTTCTTGACCACTCAAAATAAACAATGTAATCAAGCCTAATGACAGTTCAATGATTGTAGTATATTCACCCAAACATTATAAGACAACTTATAACAAAATTTTAACTTAGGATAATATATCATATATTAGTTTAAATTTTTCTTCGTTATAATTTAAAATAATTTTAAAAATAGAATAAATTTAAATACAATGCTTTCTATTGTTACAGTTATTGCAGGAAAAACTTGCATTTTGAAGCTTTAAAAAGAGATAACCTTTAACTGCAATTTTTTTTTATATCCAATATTTAGAAAAGGAAGAATGCTGGATTAGAAGATGAAATACAAGAGAAGAATAATGGCATTTCTGAATCTGGAAGTGAAGATGAAGATTCTTTAGACTCAAAATTAGATATTTCAGTTAGTTTTGGTTTTCTATTCTCTACTTTTTGCTGTTCTAAGCTTTGTTTCAAACAAAGATATTATGTCACCTTGATTTCTTTTATTACAATAGTTAGCTTGAATTGTATTTTTTCCGTTGTTGGTAAATATTTCATTGTGACAACTATAATGTAAGGCAGCTCTAATATTTTAAATTTAAAAAATATTTTATTCAAATTTATATTAAATTTGAATCCTAATTGTGCAATCATAATTTTATTGTATCTGTTTAATTGTGTAGCCATATTTGACTCCCAATGTCTTAGCTAGGTGTTTCGATGTCCCGCTGCAAGATCCGTAAAATCAAGAGTTCTAAATTTAAATAGTAATAATTTGGTATTGTATAAGTACTGTAAAGCTTTTTATAAAATCAAAATAGCTAAATAGTGTCTAATTTTATTTCTAGTTACAATTAAATAGTAAATCTAATAAGTGTTTATAAGGACAATTTGAAGAAATAAAAGAAAATCAAACAAGAATTTTATTTCAAATATTTCTTATATTAGGAAAAAATATTTATTGACTAGTGGAAACGGGTATTAAGATTTTTGCAAAGTGAATGTGTTTTCTTCTTGATTTGATGTCAGCAAATACATCAACAACTTCATAAAAATTTATTTGTTGTGGTTTCTCTTTTTCAATTTACAAGCTAACTAAATTACTAAGACGTTCTTGTGTTGTAGAACTTCTAAGGTAGTTCTTGACAGGGTATGTAGCTTTTTTAAAAAGTGCTTAAAGGTGCTTTTTTTACTCGGGGTTTGTAAAAAGTGCTCAATTTTCTATCTTTTAAAAGAGATTTTTTTTTGCTGTATTGATTGTCGTTCTAAATTAGAAAAAATGCCTGATTTTCCCGATTTTCTCTGCAATTTTTATCAGAAGCTTGTTATTTTATCATGATTATATAAAATTGTGAAACTGTTTGTGAATTTTATTGATTTTATATTTATAAATTAAGAACTTTAAATGATAGAAAAAATTATTTTTATTACTGCACAGATCCTAATTATAATATTTTTTTGGAAAGTGATTAAGAATATTTTTTTGAGTGCTTAAAAAGTACTTAAAAGGTGCTTATTTTTTGTTAAAAAATGCACCCTGCTTGATCAATCTTAATTTTGAAAATGATCTTTCAACTTTGGCCACAATAACAAATACAATTAAGTATATACAACGAGAACTGTTGCTAGAAGACAAAAAAAAAAATGTTCTCATCAATAGCAGATGAACAAGTTGTTTGATATCTGCAAGACTTTTAATCTTGCATCTAAAAGAAATTCTCACTGATAGGATTTCAGATTTAATAGAAAGAGAAGCATTTTAAAAAAAGGGGTTGGAAAATTTTTCAGTTTTTATTTTAAGTTGCTCATCAGTAGAGGAAGCTAAAAAGAAAAGATTTTATGAATCCCCTATTGATTTCATTCTCTTAAAACGACTTTGAAGTTGGGAATAAATTACATCTGTTATTTATTAGAATTATTCTTTTGAGTGAATTGAAGTGGTATTCTCCATATTTTACATGTTGTAGTCTTTAACTAAAAGATCAAAAGCCTACTAGTCTTGACAAGGTCAAACGCAGCATGTAGGTAAAGATATTCTAACTGTGAGGGTTTTGAAACAAAATTTATATTCTCCAAAGCTTTATTTTGTATTACTAATAACAAAACAAATCTAAAAGTATCAAGCAATATTTTAAGTTCAATAGCATCATTCCTATCTTTTAGATTGTTGTTTTTAAAAATAAATGATAGTTCTTTCAGAACATCAGTAAATCTTTCTTTAAGAGCAATCACTGCTTCTTGCTTTCCTACCCAGCGAGTAGGATTGGGTGCTTTCTTAGTAATCTCTGATTTTGACTCTGAACACATTCTCAGATTTTCTCATCGTACAATACTAAGACCAAAAAAGTTGTAAACATTTTGAACTGTTTTAAAAAATGGACAACTTTTTCTGTTTGCCTCTGCTGCATCCTAAAGGAATAAGTTGAGATTGTAGTAGCACAATGAACATAATAAGCATGTGGTGTGGATTGCTTTAATTTCTGTTTAATCTAACTAAAAAATAATTCTAAGCATGTAGCAATTGATCATGATATATTAAATAATGATAGAATAGCGAGAGAAAAAAGAGCTTAACTAAATTTTAAATAACATTTAGTTGAGTCAGGAAACATATGTAAACCAGTGGTAGTTAATAGTTTAGTGAACTGGAAAAATGCAAAAATAGGTGGAGTGGGAAAAAATGAAATGGAATAAATTGCTGAAATGTTACATTGTTCTCATGGTAAAACTTTTAGAAGCATGTTTTCTAAACATAGTTATCTCCTAAATTTCAATATCCAAGAAAAGAAAGTTTTTGGGTAATTTTTTGTTTGTTTGGATTTATTTTCTTCAGTTTCATAATTTTTCCAATGCAAAAATGTTATTATTTTACTTAAGGTTTCTATCTAGCACCTTCATAATTTGTCATCTTTTTAGGATGATGAAATAAGTTCAGATCTACATGATACTGCGGAGTATCAAGAGTTACTCCTGTACAAAAGACTTCTTAAGAAAAGAATAAAGTCATCCACTATGATGCAACATTTTGGATTTAAGGTACTTATTCAATAATTTTTCTTTTTTTAAAAAATAAATAAACATAAAGATTTAAACTCACAATACATTAACTCATCCATATTTTACAGTGCAAGGTGTGTAAGTCAGAGCCTATTGTAGGAATAAGATACCACTGTGTAGAATGCAATCCTTCAATAGATCTTTGCAAAGACTGTTTTAAAAAGTAAGTCTTACTAATTACTTAATAATGTTAGCAGCAAATTTCTATTTGTTGGTATCAATTCTTTCCTGTTTTAATTTGAACAATATAAATTTGTCTTAAAAGTTTTAAAAGCAAATTGCTATAATTGATGTATATAATACTTGAAATTTGTGTATGGCTCCTAATCAAGTTGAAGTGTGCTAACTCATTCTCTTATTTTTGAATTAAATTATAGCAGGTTTCTAACCTTTTTCTACAAAAAAATATTTCACTCTTTTTTCTTTTATTAAATAAACTTACACCTTAATATGTTTTGTTGTATAATTTGAGTATTTTCTTAGAATTTATTAAAATTGAGGAGTGTTAACACATTTTCTTATTTTATAATAAATTATAGCAAGTTTCTACCCTTTTTTTTAAAACTAAATAAACTTACATTTTAATATGTTTCTAAATAAATCATTAATCCATATTTTGGAAAAAGAAAACATTTGAATTGAAACCTTTGCTTGTTTGAAATTTATTAATCTTATTTAATTGTTTTGTTAGAATTTATTGAAATAAGTTTAAAAAATTGCAACATTCTGTTTTGAGTTTTATATTATTTTTTAAAAAAGGTATATATAAACAATACTTCTCAGCTCTTAAATATATAACACACTATGAACTAGAATTGTCTTATTAACTTTGTCACGCAATATGTTGCTTGTTGTCTTAGTAAATAATCCATTTTAGGTGCTAGTTAAAAAAATAAAATGTTGAGGTTTTTGAATCATTAACCCTAATTTTTTTATGTCATAGCATGGTGTAGACAAGAATTACAGTTCCAATTATTCCCTAAAACATTTATTAGCACTCCTAGTTTGAGTTTATCTATTACTTTGTATATTTTACTTGCAACCAACATAAATTAAGCATAAAAAACATTCAGTTCTGCTAATGCTAAGATATTTACAAGTAATTAGACTTGGTTATTTATTTTTGGTATTTGCTAACATTAAATTTCTTAATTACCTTTAAACTATAATCCTTGTTTCTTTCAATCTTTTAGTTCCCCGGAAATTGGCGAGCATACATCTGATCACCAGATAGAAGAAATTCATCATTCTAATGCTGGGTTTTTAGACAGAGACTACATGCATTTTTTGGGCAATGATTATAACTATTTGGACCCTAATTACATGCCAGCTGCTTAATATTTTGTACACTATATTTATTTATTGTAATAAAATTGTAAATAAGATTAATATTCCATTCTCATTTTAGTAAATAAAAATCTGATCACATAATATACAAAATGTTTCGTTCAAATGCAGATTTTTTAACTTGAATTACATACATTTCTAAGTAATAATTTATGACTACTTAAATCAGACGCTAACTACATGATAGCTACAAAATATTTTATGCACTCAAGGGCGCCGGCAGCGGGGTGCAAGGGGGTGCACTTGCACCCCCCTGGCTTTTTTAAAGCAATTAAAGAGATACAGAAAAAAAATTTGGTTATAAAATTTTGTTTATTAAAAATATTTTTATTCAAGAACAAATAATTAAGTAATTATTGATACACAACAATTAAAAAATTGTATAGTCAAACAAGAATTGTAATCATCTTGTTAACTGTCCAAATCTGTTTATAACTTTTTCAATGAATTTTGAGTAATCTTTTCTTATGCACAATGAGCATGCACAAACTACTTAATTTCTCGTGAAACATTGTAGGCGGATTCTGTGTTTTGATGCTTCGCATTGTACTAAAAGTGCGTTCAATAGTGCATGTAGTAGCTGGAAGAGTTAGGCCGATTTTGACTGCCTCCCCGATACAGCTGGATAAAACGGTGTGGCCTGAATAACTAAATCGATGTATTCGAGGGATTCATAAGATATTGAAATAGATGAAAAAAATTAACAGATGGAAGTATATGTAATAACAAAAAACAGAATATTTTCACTTTTTTTAGGGGGGAGGGAAATTTGTTAGAGGGTTGCACCCCCTTTTATATTATTCTGCCGGCGCCCTTGTATGCACTACTTAAACATAAATAAATTTAATATTTTTATTTTCATTTTAAAACCGATTTGTTAATTCTTTTCATTAACAGTGTATATATAATTCTTAATGTTTTCCCCCTTCTCAGTTTATCTATATAAATTTGAATGACTCAAATCAAAATTTAGAAATTTTATAGGCTGTGAATAAATAATTTTAAAAAGAGAATAGATTTAAATTTTTTGAATATAATTTAAAATAGGTAAACTAGCTATGAACCTTGATTTAAATAGAACTCAGGTTTAACAAGGGAATTTTTAAGATTTTTTCCCCCAGTTTAATAGTAAAAAGCGTATATAAAACCTGTTAGAAAAGTGTTTGGTTCATTGTGGAAATTTCTTTATCTTTGAAAGGGTAAAAAACATCGATTTAGTTCAAACATTGCATATCGAGCAGTGGCGGCCTTCCAATTAGGTAACCTTGGTTTGAATCTCAACGATGGCTGGCTAATACGAATTCCGCACCCAGCTTGCACTGACCACAGTGCAGACTTAAAATATTCTCAGTGGTAGACAGATCATGGGTTAGAGTCGCCTTACCATCTGACTAACTGTGGGAGGTTTTTCTCTCAGCCTAACACTAAGTTCACAAAAGCAAATTTCTCCTAATACTTGATTCAGGAACTCCCCTGTCTTCCGAATTAGGTTCGAAATTGCACGGCTATAGAGCTCAACACTGGTAATCGTAAACTCAAAAATTGTATCGGCTATTCAACGACAGTTATAAAATAAAAAACATTGCATATCATGTAAGCAGAGCTGTAATGGACATGGGGATAGAGCGTTCGCCCTCCAATGAGGTAACATGGGTTTGAATCTCAACAATGGCTGCTTAATATGAATTACCCACAGTGCTGATGTAAAATATCCTCAGTGGTAGATGGATCATGGGTTAGAGTCTCCTTGCCGTCGGGCTAACCGTGGGAGGTTTTGAGATTTGCCTCTCCATGTAATGCAAATGTGGGTTAATTCTATCCAAATTCCCTCCATGAAGGTAAATTTCTCCCAATACTTGATCCAGAGGTTCCCTTGTCTTCTGAATTTGGTTCAAAATTACAAGGTGACGGAGTTGAACATTGCTGGTCGTAAATTCAGAATTGGGTTGACTGTTAAACGACGGTTACAAAATAAAATATCATGTAAGCAATACAATGTGATATAGAATTCCTCATATTTTTTTTCTCTAATTACAAAATTTCAATAACTTACAGAATATGTTATGCAAACTATTGAATAAATCCTATACCTACTGTTGTGTGCATGTTAAAGCCTAATGTTTGTAAAACACAGAAATTCTGAAAATTCATAGCAGAAAACTCAAGGGCATTTTTCCGTACTAAATAATATTAAATGTATAAATTATTTTTATAATATTTTCAGGAGTAATAAGATCAGTCATGGAAGTTAAAAGCTACACATTTATTTTTTCTTTATCAGAAATTACTTAGTTTGATAAATGTAAAACAAAATCTTAATTTCATGTGAAAAAAGTGGTATTTCTATAATTATAGAATTAGCAATGAAATTTTTTTTTATATTTATGGTAACGGAAAGTGTTGTGAACACACAAAAGACGCCTGAGAATATATTTCAATGTGCAACTAATTTTTAATTCTTCGAGTATTTGACAGGAGTGTAATTATTTATAATTACAAAATCTAGTTTAAAAAACTTTAAGAGCTGAAAATATTAAACTTAAAACATACATAATTATGTAAAACTAATAAGACATCATAAGACAGTATTATTATTTTTTAAACAAATTTGTTTGAACAAAGAAATGGCAACCAGTGTTACAAAATCTATTGAAATGAAACTGTCTTTGCAACTACCAAGGTGCTGATGTTAAATGCTATTTAATTTGTAACTGCTTTAATTATTAAATTATACCCCTTATCAAGAAAAATTTTTTTTTTCATTAACTGATTATTTGCAGCACATAGATACCTTTTCACATGTTGTTTTTCTTGCCAAAAATTCAGTTTTTGAAATTGTTATTTAACAGGACAATTGTGTATTAAGGAGAAAGTTTTATATGAATTTGTCAAAGTGCAAAATATATAATCTTTAGGGAAAAGATGAAGTGATAGTGGCCCAAAAAGGTGCATTTTTTAGTCCACAAACATACTGGCATGAATGGAAAACTATAATAGAAGGAATAATAAATGAAAAGAATATTGGAAATTTTAGCGATTAATCTATAAGTTAATCTCAAAAGTGATCAAATTAGACAAATAATCTACTAGAAAAACATCTTTCTATTTCTAATGATATAAGATTAGAATTGTATTTAAAAAGTTAATTGGCTAATAAAATGGCTGATGCATAAATGAGAATGAATAAAAATAAGTGGAAGCAGGCTTGAATTGGTGGACAAGACAAGTTGCACACAACTTTCTATGATATATTGCACTTGCTACAATCTCTTTTTCTGTTTTCAAATACAAGATCTGTATTTTTTGGAAGGCAAAATGATCACTGCGCCATTTCCTTAAAAGAGTGAAAGATTTTACTTGCTATGGTGATGTTAGACATTTTTAAAGATAGATAAAATAATAAGCATATAAAAGCTTATTATCCAGCTAAATTTTGTATTCTTAATCCAAGTATATAAAATTTTGTCATTATTATGTAGTAGATGAAAAGTCAATAAGACATACTTCAATATTTAAGTTTTTTATTAGAAAATAATAAAAGTTCATAAGTAGATCATAACAGGCTATTAAGCTCCTTTTTATTGCAAGTAACCTCTGTAAGAAAAGAAAAAGACAATTTAAAAATACATAACTAGATTAAATACAAAATTATTATAAAATATGTGATTTAAGTGACATTTTCAAATCTTTATATTGCATATTTTTAATACAATGAACTTAATCAAGTATGTGTATTACATAATGCAATCACATTAAAGTTAAAATTTTGCTGATCAATTTTTAATTGAAATAAATGTAAAAAAAATCATTATGTATTTATATTTAAACTATACAGTTGAAGAATTTAAGTTTCACATTAGTATTTGACAAACATTTTACAGCCTGTACATAGTAAGTTTCACAACTCAGAAGAAAAAATATCATATATGCATTTTTTCACATAATATTTTTGTACAAATTGCAGGAAAAAATTAAAGTTGCAGCCAAAAACTATATTACATAATTACAATAATAAAAAATTATGACACCCTTCCATTGAAATAGAATAAGAAACAATGGAAATTTAATATACTTACGGAAGTTTCATTCTCATAAATACCCAACAAGTTGCAAAAGACACTAAAATGCAGATGAATCCAACACAGATAAGAAGTATCCTGTTTAGTTTTGGAGTATTAGGATTATGCGTATGATCCAATATAACAAATCCAAGGCCACCCATAGTAAATAAAAAGCTTGAAGCCAAACCTTCCATAATATACTGCCCATTTACACGATACGGCAAAAAGGCTACCTATAATAAATATTCCAAATTAAAAGATCATTTAAAAGATTACTTGCTAGTTTAGAAAATATTTAGACAATAAAACAGATAAAATAAATAAATTTATGTGTAAGATTGAACAAATTTTATGCTTTATAGTATAAATGCCCTAACTTGACAATCATAAAATCAGTTTTGCAACATTTATAGCTAACCTTGTATACCTACTAAGGATTTATTCCCAGCATATTACTAATGAATTTTTATTGGAACTTCCACATTTAGAAATGATAATAATTATAAATTTATTAACAGGGTATGCATTCAAATATTTCAACAAAAAATAAGCACCTTTTAAGTACTTTTTAAGCACTCAAAAGATATTTTTAAGCACTATATACATTAACAAAATTCAAAATAATTTTCAAAGACTTTACATGATCATGATAAAATAACTAGTTTTTGACAAAGAACTCTTTTTCTTGATTATATTAGCCACTAAAAAATGATCAAGAGACATTTTGGTTCGATTTCAGAGGGTGGAAAATGAAGCTTGAAATTGAGAATATCTTGAAAAATGCAGCAGAGTTGCACATGAGAATGCAATTATCTCACCGAACCCAGCTCACTATACGCACATGCGGGCTCGCAAGTATTTCATCAAACCTGTAAAATGATTGCCGATTTCATACGCTATGGACCGACGATAGGCCGAAATGGATTGTGGTTGAACTAATTGTGAAAGTGTTGAATAGAACAATGTGAAAAGCACACTTTTGCAAATTACATGGCGAAAATTGACATAGTAAAGAAAAAAATCTCATTTTCGAAAACGAAAAATTAAGCACTTTTTAAAAACACCCAACGAAAAAAGCTCCTTTAAGGGCTTTTAAAAAACGAAAATAAGCACTCTTAAGCACTTTTTAAAACGCTATGCACCATGATTAAAATAATATAAATATAAAAATAATGATTCAGAAATTCGCTAAGAATTTAACTGAGTATTTTGATAAAACAGCAGACAGAAATTTAAGATTGTTTTGGATAATGTTTGGGTCTCTTAGAATAAAATATATTTTTAATATCTTGATTGCTGGCTCTGTGGAATGTGTGTGCTTTATTAAAAATGAATTAGTAAAATCAAATTTTATGCCTCATACTGTATCACAATTCCTTATACAGTGAAACCTCTCGGGAGAGACCACTCTCTGTTCCACAATAAAATGGTCGTTAATGGAAGTTCTTAGGGGTTACCTTCATTGACTTCAAAATGTTATCAAAAGTACATGATATTTTGCAAATGATTTTAATTTTAGTTAGTGTCATTTTCTTGGTGTGGAAACGCCACCTGTGTTGGTGTCATGAAAACCGGATCGATAAATTAAATTAAGCATCAATAAAAATGACCTCTACTGATATAATTATGTGTAAATATAAATTTACCAATTATAAAAGATAGAATTATTTTAAATAAATAAACAATTATGTTTTTGATTAAAGTTTGCATTTAATTTTCTATCATAAAAATTAGTTAGCCTTAGAAGATGAGAAAAGGTTTGTTTGTTTAAGATACTAAATTTTTTTTAAAAGAAACTTATTTTTTTCTAATTTAATTTTTAATTCTAAAAATAAATCATTGCTTCTGCCAAAATTCTGTCTTAGCCAATGTCAAAACGGATACATTTCAAAAACAAAAAATTTTTAAATCTGAATCTGTTAATGTAATTTCAATTCTTTCAGTACTTCTCAGATTCAAAAGAGTTTGTTTCACATTTCTCTTTTGAATCTGAATTTTTGTATTTCATATTCAAAGGACAAAATTTTACATTTTCAAAGATCTTTAAGCAATCCAAACTTATTTTTAAAATTTAACCCTCTCCAATTCCCATATTTTTAAAAATTTTGAAAGAAAAATATATATATTAAATCAAGAGGTTCTCTTATACAGATGTTGATTAAAAATTATTGTCTTACTGGTCGAGAATGGCCAAATTCATCCACTGTAGATCCAATGCTTGGTGGTTCAACAATTACATCATAAATGACACCTGTAAAATATAAAGCAAAGTAATATATATTTATAATAAGCTATGATATAATAGTTCTAATCTTAGTAACAGCAGAACATTACATAGTTCTACTTATACAAATAAACATACACATTATAACAATTTAATTCATGAAATAGAATGAATGAATTCATAACTCTTACGAAAGGATGGTTTAATAACAGGGCAAACTCGTGTGATCACCAGTAATAGGTTGTGATTTTTTCAGCCAGTGAAGTCTGATTCCAGTCAAGTGAACTTATTTTAACAAAATATAATGTCCAAAGAATAAGAAAAAAAATTTGAAAAAAGTTTAATCGGAATAAATTTATACTGAGCTATGTATGAATAAAGCAAAAGTAAAGCAAGCACAAATAAAGAATTTTCGTGGAAACATTATTTGTGCTTTATTTACTTTGTTTTTCGCTTTACTTAAAAGTTTTGTGGTTGAAATTGTAGTTTGTGGTTCTTTTTTGCGTGAAATTCTAGGTTAATTATTTGTTTTTAAATATCCTTCAAATGTGTTCTGAAACATAAAACAATGAGATAAAAACTAACTTGACACAAACGAGAATTCATTGATGCAATAAAAGAGTTACGATATTTTTACTAACCTGAAGTAAAATAGCTTAAAAGTATCAAAATATTATTATCATGGCATAATTTTGTCCTTATAGTTAATTTTTATTTTTTAATCTTATATTTTAGGACCTTTCTGTCTTTTGATCAAGGCAGGAAAAACTACATCTTTTTCTATAAGCTTTTAAGTATTTCTGTCCTCATGGACAATTAAAAAATAATAATATTTGTAATTTTAAAACACTGAGTAATATCAAAGTATATGTTTTTCTTTTAGGCTACATTTGAATAATCTAAAGATAGTTAAGAATAACAGGATTATGAACAGGAAAAAATATTTTTGTAGCAGAAATGTACAAAATGGGTTGGGGAAAAAAATTTCCAAGTAAAATGTTTAAAATTGTAATATTATTAGAAGTTGAACTCATTGATATTTCGCTCCTTTTTTAGTTAATTAGGAATCTTCATATGATATTATACACTAAAACTAGAGATCTTTTGATGCTAGTTTGTTTTATCGCATATTTTTGAAATTAGAAAACGCTTCTACATCATTAATAGGGAACTGGAAACTCCTTCAATTTTTACGTCACAGTTGTTAATCTAGAAACACAATAAATATTTAAAAAATATTTTTAATGCAGAAAAAATCCATAACTGGAAATAAGATTTTTCTCTTTGGATAACAGGTAATGTTTTTCAAGATGAACAAAGGATCAAAGCATGATAATACAAAAATATACGTAATAATAATAGGTCAATAATATTTTGTTATTACTTAGGGTTTGAGGAGCATTTCGGCATTGGTTCATACTTATTACCTTCACTAACATGCCTAAAGGTTTTTTTAAATTGCAGAAATTACACAGGAAAATAAAAGGGAGAATTTTGAAAAAAGGTACTGTAGGTATTGAGTGAACGAATGAGTTTAAAATACTCTATTTTAGTCAGGTTGATAAATAATTAATACAGTTTAGTCAATGTCAGTCTAAAATCTATTGAGCAAATATTTAAAGACAATCACTCCACTGATTTTTGTTATTTTTTCTTCGTTTTTTTTAAAACAAATCAAAAGCTAGATGTTTATTTGTGATGTAAGAAAAAAGTTGAAGTAAAAGAGCCATAGATCTAAACGTACCTCCACAAACCAAAAAGTAAGAAATTAATACTAGAGCATAAACAAACATAGCACTTGGTTTATGAAACCATGACGGTCTTTTAAGTTTTAAGCATGGAATTTCTAGGACTGCAAAAGGTAAACTGTATAGAGTTTCCATTTTGATTAAAATTTAATAAATAAAGCCTCACACTCAAACGAATACTTAAATTTATCGCAAAAGATCTCAAACAAAACTACACGTAGCTACGCCGGGTTTGTTTATTTTTTGCTGCTATCAGTTCTTGTTTTAATAATGCCAAAATGAATAACACAAACTTTAAACTAAATAAAAATCATTGAAACATTGCAAATAATAAAAATTCTCAAATCTAAAATTGTTTTCAAAACTTATAATAAATTTCCTTTTTTTTTGTTTTCAAAGTAAAATTTTTTATCTTTTAAAGGACGCTTTTTAAATGTACACGCCCATTGATTAAGTATACGCCTCTTTATTTTGAAAGAAGGCGGAGCTAAAAATACATGATTTAATAATCAAATTGATGATTGATGTTCGTAAAGTTCAACGAGTAAGGTAAAGATGAAAATGATTTTTACGAGATTATAGTGGTTATGTTTATCTTGGAGTTATAAATTGTTATTTTCCTATTAAATATGAATTTGTTATTATCCTGTCGACCGTCTTTTGTTACTTATAAAAATGCTGGAATTATTGAGAAGTTAAGACCTGTCATTTTAAGTCAACCATGTAAACAATTATATTCCACTTCAAAAGGTAGATACTTTGAAAAGCTTTTCGTTGTTTCCAAACACTTTTATGATAATGAATTTCAGAAATGCATGCATAATTTTTTGAATGAAAAACAGTGATTAAAAAACTATGAAACCCAGATTTATTTGTGTACTAGGATCCGAATGTGTATGTGACCTTAACTTTTCAAATATTTTACTTTTAATTAGAGGTCATTTTAAATTTAATTGCTATTAAAACAATTCTACCTGTCATACTATGTTGTTTGATATGTAGTATTCAAGAGCCTGTCACATGTCTTTTGTTTTAACTAGTATCTAGTTTCCTCTTAATTCTTTATTTGGTACAGCTGCAAGTGTAGTTAGATAGTATACCATAAAGATTGAAAATGAACTTGTTATAAAAAAAATAACCATTTTGTTCATTTTTTGTCACGATTTAACTTAAGATTTGATATCAGTGTGATCATATGAGTTACATATATATATAATAAATAAATAAATACAAGAAAACACGAAGAAAGTTAAGAAAAACAATAAGTTTCATTTATTGCGCTTAAGCTGCAAGTAAACAGAACTCATTAGATAAGTTTAAAATGAAGAATAAAACAAAGAAAAATAATAGACATATGAAAAAAAAGAGGGGTGGGGGGGGGAATAATAAGTAAAAAAATAACAAGCAACAGTTTATTTAAAAAAAAAAACGAAATGTTAATTAAAAAACCGGAAAAAAAGATATAATCTTTTCTTCAGCCCACACGATTATATCCGCAAAACAGAGTGCTTTCTGATATTGTATCAATAAAGCCAAAGCTAAATATATTAATACAATTGTGTGAGGAGCACTCAAAAAATATTTTTATAAAAATAACAACAAATAAATTAGATCACAAAAAGTAAAAATAACATGTAAAAACAGATAATAAAATGAAATAAAAAGAAGGAGGACTATAAAGCGAAAAATCAGATCAACTTACATGGACGGATATTTTTCAAGAATGATTTAAAAAGTGTTTTTGCAGAAAGATTGCCAGATTACAAAAGATGAAAACAAAAGCGGGTTTTAAAGTGCGCAAATTAAAGCGCACTTTAAAACCCTCTTGTTACACTCAATTTGCGCTTTTGTTCAAGGTTCAAGGGGATGACCTAAAAAGTGTTAATTAAGATAAGCTGCAAAATCTGACACAAAAACATATGTTCTCTGAATAAACATGTCTTTTATTTTCTCGATCGATTTGAATTTCTAACCCCCAGAATATAGGGGGTAGCCGCAATTTGCGAAATATGGTCCCAATAGTTTGGTCAGGTGAGGGTCCAAAAGTTTGAACCTTTTATTGCTAATTTTTTTTGCACATTTCGCTATATCTCCGGAACTTCTTAAGTGAATTGACACACAATTATAAAATTTGTTTGTTCAAAATAAAATTTTGTAAATATTTATTATATCTTATATAGTGATAATCAAAAAATTTTGAGTAGTAAGGTCTAAATTTTTTTGCATAATTTTAAAGTATTTAATTTTAAATTCTAAAATGCAAAATTCGACCAAAATCAGTCGACTAGTTCCTGAAAAATCAAATTTTAAATGTATGACTTTTTTAAAATTCGATTTCTCAGGAAATATTTAGCTGATTTTGCTGAATTTTTGTATTTAGCCATGTAAAATTACAAACTATGTATCTAATATGAAAAGAGCTATAATGCTAATAAAAAGAGGTGTAAAGTGAAAAAATTGCAAACGATTCTGTAAGAGGATTGGAGTTTAATAGGAAAAGGAGAACATAAAGAAGTAATTATGTTAGTCACGTTAACTTCTTTTCATTCATTACACATTTCGGATTTCACTTTATAAACTAATTTTTACTATGATAGGTTTTGTTTTTCTTATTTATTTTCAAGTGAAAGAAATTAAAAAAAAAAAATCTAACTGATGCTTTTAAAATTGTGTGTTCAAAAAAATCTGGAATATCAGGACAAAAGGCTGAAAATGAGGACTGAATATTTTTTATCAGAAATATCAGGACAACTACGTAACCCGATTTGATTAAGAAACTTTTTTTTAAAAATTATTTTATGCTTTTTCGCATTTGACTTAATATTTTTTGAATCAAGTTTTTATTAAAAAATATTTCATTATTACCACCAATATTTGGAGCATGTACCATTAGAGAAATCATTTGGAAAAAAAAATTGCATAATTCAGAAAAATAATTTTATTTTCAATAAATAATTTTATAATCTTTATGAAGCAGATATGTTATATCAGGTAGAATAGATAGAAACATTTGGGAGTAGATAATTAAAATTTTATTAGAAATAAAAGTATTTTGAATGTCCCACTGATTCATGCAAATAAAATTTTTCATAAAAATATAGTTTAATATTAAATTATGAATAGCAAATTTATTATTCCTTATGATGATATATTATTGATATTTTTATTTATCATTACATTTTAGGTCACAGACCTAATACAATTGACAAGTACTTGTTAGTATGGATGAAAAAGTATCCTTCAGTCAAAGAAGTCCCAGACTTTGTTCGGTGAGTATTTACAAAATAAATTAATTTCAATGCAGTTGCAATAAATTGGTTTCTACAGTAAAATACATACAGTTGAATTCAGCTATTTTATAACTTAGATGTTCTATATAGTGGCAAACAGGTGTGTGGGTCCTTTAAGCAAACTTTTTGATAAGATGTCCTTAAAAAGTGTAATCACTGTAGGTAACCAATAACTTTTTTAACTGAAAAATTTTAAATCCATTTTTCAAATTAACTTTAATTTAAATGTAGGATAAAATTATTTTATCGGGAAAAATAATTCTTAATAAAATGTTCCTAATTCTTTCTTAGTTCAATGTTCAAAAAAGTTAATCAAGCAACTTATGTAATTTACCTTTTGTTTAACTCAATATTTCAACAATACATATTCCAATACTTACAGTTATTACTAAAAAAATACTTTTTATTTTGCTATAAAAACTCTTACTATTTTCTATATTGTTTAATTTTATTAGGCAAGTTTTGAAAAAATTTGTTACAGTAATTTTTTATTTCCAGACCAGACATGATGGAGAGAGTTCGGAACAAGTCCCGAATCAAAATCACTATTTATATGATGATCGTCACAGGCATTGTATGTGTATTTATGATATTCAGTGGCAAGAGAGCAGCTAAAAGAGGAGAGAGCATTCGAAAAATGAATCAGGATTGGCACAAGGAACAGAATGAAAAGAAGTAATTTTGTTGAGTTCAACTTTAGCAATAATATATCATTGTTTAGTGGAATAATGAACCCATTTGAATATTAATTTTACTCTTATATCAGTTAAATATTTTGAAAAAAAAATTGTTATTTTGTTTGTAAAAAGCAGTTGTGAATTTAAAATAAAATAAAAACGTTTTTTGTTGTATCATTGTTTTTAGTTCTTTTGAAAGGTTCAATAGGAAACAAAAGAGAAATTTGTTTTTCTCCAATGGAACATGACATAGCTCTATGCAAGATCTTTACAATATTATTATAGTTTAAAGATTTATTTTCATTGCATATTTTTAGAAATTATGTATTAGCTAGTCATTTTAATATTCAGTAGTATGGGCAAAATGGTTTAAGTATCTTTTTTGAGAAAAAAATGTAAAATGAAAATAACTGGCAGCTTTTAGTAATTGTAATTTTCGAAAACTGCCTATATTACCTATTTTAAATTAGTAGGAACTAAATACATTCTTTAAAATAAAAATAAAAAGTTTACACAGTGTAAAATATCTGTAATAAATGAAAGAACATTGCTACAAATTATTTCTCTGAAACTTTTATTTAAAAAATATTACCTTTAAATTTAAACAAATATGATGGATTTAAATATTTTAGGATAAATAATTTCAGCATTTGATTGCATCAGTACAAGAGACTTAAAACTATTTTATTGTATATCTAAAAAAAATATTTTAACTTAACTGCATTCTTATGCTGAAATGTATATTAAACTTAAATATTTTAGAAAAGATGAATTCTTATACTCAAATGCTTATATGATAACTTAAAACTGTAACCACAAAGATAAAATTTTATTCTTGTTACCCACAAAAATGTCAGTGTTTTGTTATCTTAAAATCATTTACAAATCCACAGATTTTTGATTGGAAAGCTTAAGAATGCTTTGAAGAAAATTCTGATTAGATCAGCACTGTATTTCACAGTTACTAAAATGTTCAGAAAAAGTGCATTAAAAAAAAAGAGACACTTTTTGTAACTACCACATCATATATCACTAACAGTTGGTTAAAAAAATGAACTAATTTATGGAAACTTGGTGGTCCTGTGGATTAGATTTCATTTCATAATGGTCCAAGGAGGGTCTTATTGGTCTCAGAGTTGTGGTTTCCAATTATTTCAAAAGCTGAATATTTTTCACAATGTCAATGTTAGTCTGCTAAATTTCCTCATATTATATGTAGAATTTTTCTAACGCCTTTTTTTAAAAATCCTTTTAATTTCATTCTGAAATTTTTTTCTATCACGAATTTAAACTAATAGCTAATTTATAGTTCTTTAATCTTATCACAAAATTTTAAACCAGTATTTCCATCCTAAACAAAATATATTCAGTATAATATTCACCTGCAGTGGATTCTTTCTCACGTTGGTCTCTATGGCAACGAGGTTACAGCCACAGCTAAAGAGGGTTACAGCCACCCACACCCTACCTCTTCTGATCTTACCTATCTTAAACTTTACTCCCTGAAGAAATCCCAGCTTCTCAGGGACTGGCTGATTCCCCCCACCCACCATTGGTACAAGGGAAATAAGCCTGGAGTTTCTTTGACTCTTTCCTTTGAAAGGAGAGTCTGCACCACCCTCTCCCGCCTAGCTACCGGCCATCTAAAAGGTTTACTACTATTTCCCGAAAGTTTACTAAACCTACCCCCTAAATGCCATAAAGACCGGGCTTCCGGCGATCATATCCTGGGCTGTCTTGGTCTTCTTTGGGAAGACATCTACTCTACTCCTCTTTTGATCTTCGATTTCATAGATCTGTTCTGACTTCGTCAGGCCAGAAGAGGATAAGTAACAACAAAATTTTGAGAATTCTCAGTAATTTTGGTGTTAATGAATAAAACTTAAATGTTTTAATTTTAAAGTATGCATCACAAAGTATAAATAAAACAATACAGCTTAAAAGTATGATATAAAATATATTTTTATTTTTGACAAGATAAAACATAGTAGGAAAACTAAAAAGTACATTTAAAATCCTTACTATTTTAGTTGCATTTTATGCTTTAGATCAAAATATACAAGGTTTTCATAATTATATACAAAAAGTAAAAAAAATTAAATGCGTTTTTGATACTAAGGTGATTATAATCAAAGTAGTGGTGTAGAGCAAAGTGTCCTAAAAGACTTTGTTACTCTAAAAATAAACCTATATCACATTTGATTCAGACAATTAGGTTGTTAATTAAGTTGATAAGAGGTTGCTGTCAATGTTTATGTTTTTTTTCTTTTGAAAGAACAAGACTAAAATAATATAAGATTAAAACTAAAAATTTCATGTGAAAAAATAACAAAAAGCTGTCACAAAACTTTGAGTCAGCTTAATGATATATACCAGAAATTTTTAGATTCTTGGTATGTGTGATAATTGGATTTCTAATACACTCAAACTTTTATATGATCACAAGTTTCGTTTACTGAAAATTAAATTACTATTAAAATCAGTTAATTTTTATGAATCATTGGCACAATATATTTTCACAATATGGCACTGTGTATGAAGATTATCATGATTATTAATTGCTTAGTCTATAAATAGAAATCACATTAAAAAATATTGTGAAAAAAAAACGAAATAATTTTACTAGTTATAAAAGAAGTGTATTCAATGCAATAAATCAATAAACAAGGAAAATATGAGAATATTGAAATTTGGCGCACAAAGAAAACAAATTTCTTCAATTATAATTAAATTTAATTAGTTTTAAACATATAAGTTTAATAGTATAGTATTTTTACAATTTCACTTATGAAATAAAAAATCTGAGACACCTCTACTTTAATTTATAATCACTCTGTATTTCCAAAATAAAATTATATCTCTATTATATATCAGAATAATATTCATTTTTAGTAAGAATTTGCAACTTGTTCAGTAATTTTCTTTTAAACTTTTAACAACTCAATAGAATTTAGATCAGTAGCATTAAAAACGTTTTTCAAGTTAAATTTTGAAAATCACTTGATTTGTGTTGCAATTGTAATTTGATTTTTTTTTTTTTGATTAAGCCTTTTCAATAAAATTCAATTTTACACGAAATATTTCAGTAATTAATTCAGTAGTAAAATGTTAGTAATAAATAATAAAAACATACTAAAATATTGCATTCAACATTAAAAGTTCTTAATTTTTTACATTAATAAAATTTTTCCCTTTCATTTCGTGATGAACATTACGATTAAGAAATCAATGACATGACAAAGAACATCTTCACCTAAAATGCTTGATTTTGGATGACGAAATTGCAACTTTTTTCATCGTCAAAAGTTTTAACCGTTCAAGAGCAGAGTAACGTATATGTAACTGGTTCATTCACATCCACACACACCCCACGATTGCAGAAGGATATAGCCATAAATAATTATTAATACATCAAAAAATAACTTTATACTCAATACAGAAATAAAGTTATTTATTAAATGCAAGTTGCAAATTACTGTATGCCATCAATAGAAAAATGTTATTAAAGATTCAGATTAAAAATGTGTGTTAAATCACTGCACAATTTATCAAATCTACACAAGCAAATCACCCAGTTAAGAATTTCATTATTGAACAAATGTCAGACTCACATCAAACAACTGTACGGTCTGTGAGAAATTAGAAGCATTTGTGTATTTTGTGAAGAAAATTTTTTTTACGGAAAATTCATTAGTTACTCGGTAAATACATATCAAATGCAAACAATGAGAAGCCAATAAAATGAAAAAAAAAAATATATTAATATTAAATACTTTTAAATTATAAATTTTTTTAAGGGTGATTTTCCCTAATGGTAGTAAAATTACAGGTATAAATGTTTTTTTATTTTGTCCGAGTTGAAACACACTACTATATGCATTTATTTATATATAGTTTTCAAAGTAAAGTGCAAGGTGGTTGCAGTTTTCCAGTCTGGATCACGATTCAATGGATCCACAGTGTTGACTAGTTCATCGATTGTATTGATGGCTCATTATCAGGCTCACATGTTCTGTGGCATTTCTGTCATTTTGTGGCTGGTTGCCTGTTGAGCAAGCAAGCTCCTGAATTGTGCTCCTGAGCCTAATTTTATCATAATGATCATCTTTATATGTTTAATTGAGTTTGCCTCTTGGTATGGAAGAATTTATTTCTTATATATATGTAGTGGTGGTCAGAACCATTTAAAATTAGAAATTTATAATTAAATAGAAAAAGCATAAATTTCACAACTGCTTTAAATACAAAATATTTATGAATATTGTAAAAGTTGGCAGCTATGGCAGAGTCATAATTCACTTAGAGTACAAGACTCTCAGTTGCGCAATAAAACTACTCTAGCAGGAGGAAGAGTTGGTTTAAATTAATTAAAATCCACTATGAGAGAACAAAGAGTGGTTAAAGCTATTAAGTTCTAATAACATTTAAATATCCACATAACATACAAATTTGTGCATTATAAAAAATTTCAAAAAAATTCATATTAACAAAAGAATAAACAATTTTTGTGAGGGGAATACAATTCATTTCAAATTAAACATTCAGTGAGTATTTTCATAAGAAAAATAGGCAGAAAAATAGACAAATATAATTACATTTGAAAAAGAAAATGGTTTCAAGTTACAAAATAAAAAATTCTTCATCCCCAAACTTCAAAATCTGCTAAGGTTAGAATCAGGTTACTTTTTTCATTAAAAAATGCTCTCGTTATTTAATGATAGAGAAATAGTGGTAGGAAGGAAAGTTATTATTTATAAAAAAAAGTCAGCTAAGTAGCTTGACAATTCAGGAATTCAGATTATTTTAACTGTCAATTGAGCATTTAATGATTAAGAAATAATTCAAAATGGGAAGAAAAAAAATTATTCAAAATAATTTTATTAAAAATCTTTTTAAAATAGATAATTATAAAGATTACTAGCTAAAACTTCATCAATGTCAGATGCAATTCGTTAAACATTTAAGTGTAATGATTTGTGCAATGTTTTTTTTTTCTTTCTCTAAAACTTTTAGTTCAGATTAATTTGAAAGAGACATGAAACATAGATCACTGATATTTTTCTCACCCAATCAAACTTTGCAACTGTCCTTAAAATGTAAAATAAAACAAGCCATTTATCATAAAGATTTATGATTAAAAAAAAAGTTACTCCAATTGATCATGGAACAATTTTACTATCACTTTTTATTTTTTAAGGACATTTGCAAATTTTGAAACAATTCAATGCATTAAAAAATATATTTACATAAATGGAATGAGATTCCTAAATGGAACAAAAGCTGATAATATTGCATTATATGTCATATTTGAAAACAATATGTTATTTTTATATATAAAATGACAGCTTGCAGTTATTTGACAAAACATTTAGCTAATTAATATATACAATCACAACAGCATTGAGAAAGATGGAAAAAAGAAAGCTGCACAGGAAAAACAATAGCTATGACTAAATGCATTAAAATGTTACATGCAGCACCTTAGACAAAGATACAAATGAGTCGTGAAAGAATGCGTTTAAATTGTAATCACTGTTGTTGTAACAGAACAGTTTTGATCATCCATCTGTGACAGTAGCTAAAATAAAAATAAGCAATAGATAGAGATCATTCTTACAATTTATATTAAAAATAAAATATTGATAAATATTCTATTCTAAATGATTGAATATTCTATTCATTTTTCATAAAGCGGAAAAATAAAAATCAATAAATAAGTATTAATGAACACCACGTAATCATGCACAAAACTGAAAAACAAACCTATTAAAAAACTCTTCAAAACTCCAAATTTATTATTGTTATCTTTTTGTTGTTTTTTTGAATTATAATTTGTTTGCGAAAGGTTATTCTGCAACCTTTACTTTATCTCATTAGGCAAAACACATTTTTTAAAAGTTTAACTTATTAAAATAAATAAACACCAAAAATGAAGCTGTTGAGCGTAGCCAACTCATGACAGTCAAAATTTATTTTAATCAAGCAATTTTCCCCATTAATTTTGCAATTTAGTGCATAAAGTTTTGTTTGTTGTTTTTTTAATTATTCCAGTTGATAGAAATGTTTATCAAAAGCATAACTAAAATAAAATAAACACATAGTTTCAGATAACTTTCAAAATACTGATTCGGAGATGAGGCGTTCACGGGCTATCTAAGTTGAATTTATTATAGCTTTTACCAAATATAGGATATCAAATATGTATAATTATTAAATAATTTGCAATAAATTCACAGTGAAAAACACACACATATATATATAAACTGTATAACTATAAACTAGCAAACGTTACTGATGTTATTTTTCAAATAATAATAAAAAAGTATTCTGCTGTTTAATTCTCAATAATGAGCAAAGTTAAACCTATCATAACTTTTTTTAACACTAACCCTTCAAATGAACTAATTAAAATTTTTTAACAATGTTTAGGATTGGGGTTAAAAATTGCCCAATGCACAAATTATCCAAATTTCAGGACTTTAACACAAATGGTTCTCAAGTTAACCCTACTTTTTACTATTATGGATAATTATGTTATAGATAATGCAGTTAGTATGAACCAAAGGTTATATTCTTCATGCAAATATTTAAATTATCTCATTTATCTTAGCAAATAGTACAACAATAATTTTGCATATACAGGTATGCAATTTAAAAAAAATAAACTTACCAGTCTCACATTTGATTTTATAAATTCTTTTCGATAACTTAGATCATAATTCGGGTAAGTATCAAATACCTATAAAAAGAAGTGACATTTTTCCTTTTCAATTGCACTTTTATTTAAATGAACATTAAATAGAAAAATAAAAACTAAATGTCAATAATAACACTTCCTAATGAATACACAAAAAAAATATACACAAAAAAAATTTAAATGTAGTAAATTTTAAATAAAAAATGCACAAACAACATTCAACTTATACATGTTTCATTTCTTTTTTTATATTCATATTACTTTTCATTATTTATTTTAAAGATAACTGCTAGCCATTCAGAAAATTTTTTTTAAATAAAAATTCTGATGCAAATATTTCAGAATGTTCGAAATACATTTTAATGAATTTTTTATTTTCTGCGAGATCTAAGTAATAGTGTTTAATACCTCATGTTGAAATATAAAGCTTACGTTGGGTTTGCTTTATGCATTACAATATATTCATAACCTTTCATTTGTGAATGATTTTGGTATGTTTCCCATAGGTTTAACATAAGAAGAGGGAAGCAAAACATATTGTATGTGCTTTTCATAGTGAGGAACCCTTTGTCAAAGATCAATTATACCATGTTAACACATAAGGAAATTTTCAATATATATTATGTATTTTCAAACATATATAAACATATCTATGAGAAAAATACCAATTTTTAACCTAAATGTTTCGAAGTAGTGAAAAAATTCTTGTATATATATTTTTTTTAATTTTATTCTATCTGCCAGAAATTTATTTCAGTAGTTATTTGCAAACCAAAACAGATTCACTATATTTTCATTTATTTATAGCATTTGCATTTTCTTCATTAGCAGCAAGAAACAAGACAAACTGAAATCCTCTTAACTTACCATTCCTATTCTTCTGATTAATGTAATAAATTAAATTAATCAATAAAATAAGTTAATTAATTAATATAATATGCAATATATAGATAAGTCACAATTTCAAATTGTTCCAAAGACTGTTTTTGGAGATAAATAATGATTAGCATGTAGGCTATGAGATAATTGTGTGCATTTCTGTCTTTAAAAGAATTTTATGTGAATATATAAAGTACTTATTCGGAAACAATAATATGGATTAGTTTAATGTTAAAACCTTATCTTAGGAAAAAGTATAGCTCCTTAATATTATGCCTGAAGTCAACATATGTACACTTTATTTGCACAAAGGCTGTTCAGGAGCACTTAAAAAATTCTGTGATAACCAAATTTTTTTATTTGTTTCATTTTTAACATATTATCAATTAAGAAATATAATAAACTTAAAAAGCAGTCTAATTTCCTGATTCCCTCTTCATCAGACCATAAAAAAACTGAAATTGCCAGGAAAATTTTAAATTAAAGATCTAGTTTTAAGATTGGTATGAACAGGAAATACTCAGTGTATCAATGTCACTTCAAATTATTCAATAATTTGTATTATCGGTATTTGAAAAAAAAAAAAGACAATTCATTGAACAAATTTAAAATCAAAAAAAAGTTCTGTATTTACTTTAATCTTTTTGATAAGTACAGAATTTTTTTTTCTATATACATCTTTTATTTGAATTTGAGATAAACGAGTTTATGTTAGCTACCATGCAGGTCAAACACAGAATTCTTTCATTGTCAAAGAGTTAAAGAAATTTAAATGCATAAGTTTACAAATTTAGCTGATAATTCAACTGAGCAAGTCTGTTAATTATATAACGTATGGTAAATTATATAGACAAACTGAAAATATGAAGAAAGAATATTGACATAAACTTGAATAGTATATATTTTAATGAGTATTTGTTTTTTAAGTATTGAAACAAGAAAATGTTTAATAGTAACTAAAAATCATGTAGACCAATATTTAGTGAAAACATGCATTCCCTACTTTTCTTATTACTGTCTTCATGGTTATTTCATCAAGTCTGGAATCTTTGATGATTTTAGCTACTAAAGCACGTAATTGATCATCCTGTAACAAGGAAAGGAAAAGTTTAAAACTCACGAAATTAAGAGATCATAAAATTATATTCTTACAAGACATGAAGGTTAACTTACATTAGGATGTCCAATCATTTTAGATAATGGCTTATCATCTTCATCATCACTTTCAAAATAAGCTATGGGTGCTGGAATAACTAAAAAGACATCTCATTTTAAAACTTAAATCAACAATTGAAAAATCATGTAATTAAAACCACATTATGTGCATGTGCTACTGTAAGAACAGTTCTGATAAAAAAAGGAGGTAAATTTGTATAACTACATACATGATTTATGCCAAAGTTACACTCTCTCAATGATGTTTAATAAAATTGGAACAGCTGTATGATCTTAGATATTTTTGTTACTGTATATTCCTCTCCATCTGATTTAAGACCTTAAATTTACAGTCAACAGTATGAACAGGTGCCTTAGATATTTTATAAGATTAGATTGGCAATAATTTAATGATTCTATTTCCCATGCGCAACTTGTAATGATTAATCTATTAGTATAAAATACAATCTATAAATAAAAGCTTAATTCCATAAAAAAAAAAGTTATGTACACAACAATCTGATAAATCTGAATATATTACACTGGAAATATTTTTATAATGTTCTAAATGAAATATATTTTTCAAATTGAATATAGTAGAAGGATTAAAATAAAACAATCTAATTGAGGACAAAATTTTCACTCACTACCTGAAGTTTTGACTTTTGATAAAGGCTCATCAGTATCTTCCTTCTTAGTGGATTCTTGAGTTTTGACTGGAGTAGGTAATATTGGCACATACCTATTGCTTGTAGGGGTAATTGTTACACTTTTTACATCAGGGGAAGGTAATGGCACTATTTGAATACTACTAGACTGTAAAGAGGAAAAATAATTTTAAATATGTAATGTAGATAAATGTTTCTCAAATATAAAGAGCTATAAATTTGGTCTATTAATTTACGTTAATGAACAAATAGTTTTCTTTCAAATATTGAGTTGTTCTTTTTACCACATTTCTAACCTTATTAAAGATAATTTTCATTATTTTTTTCCTTCCCATAATTTTATGATAAGATCATCATATAAAATTGCAAGAAATATTATTATAATATAAAATTATAAGAAAATTTAATCCTTTTGATTGGTTAATATTGCATTTATGTTAAATTCCAATAAAATGAAAGATAAAGTTCAAAATATTTTTCCTTAACTTACAAGAGAAGCTTTAACTTTTTCTATATCAGGCTTGATATCTTCGTGCACAGTTGTACTGGTACAGCTTATAACTGAAATACAGTATATTTTAAATTAGAAAAGTAAAATTTATCCAGCATGGAAGTTTCAATTAATTACATAGCAACGAAATTTAAAAAGAATGACTATTTTACGCCTCTTTCTAACAAAAATTCAGGGTCCATATTGAAAGCTTAGAACAAAAAAAGGTTTAATTTAAGCAATTTAATTTACAATTATTCCACAAACAAAATTTATTAGCACATGGTATTTCTTCAAGACAAGGTGAAATCTGCTTTCCAGTCAAATTTGACAGCAATAAAAAACTGTATTGTATACCAAATGCTTGATAAGAGCTTTTTTCTTAATATTTTCTTTATATAAAACAAACTATTCTCAAAATCAAAAAAAAATTTTTGTGAAACTATAACAATGTTAAGGTGCAGCACTCATATTTTTTGGATGACTGTATAAAATTTTCGCACAGTAAAATTTTTATCGTTTAAAGGTTTGGTGAATGTTAGAGTACAAGGAAAAGTACCATAGTTTTTTATGATGATTCCATCTTATTTCTGAGCTGAATCCCATCACTGAGTATACATTTCATAACAATGCATAAAATCTAATCTCATGCAGAAGATAAGTTTTTGTAATAAATTGGTCTTTCTATTTCCTACTATTTTAAATTTTGCGCTACAATGCAAAATATAATTCATTTAATGTTCAAGACGTTACAAAGGAAATACATCGGTAACAAATGTTTTAATGCTTATGATTATATTATCTTACCATTATTTACATTATTAAATGACTGGTTTGTTTCTTTGGAATTTGATAAAGTTTCCACTTTAGATATCATTATCTCTGGCATTCCATCAAGTGACTAAAATTATGAAAAGAATAGCATCTATATATGTTATAGTAGTAGCACATCAAAACATAAAAAGAAACAAGAGGAAAAAATATAGTTGTTAACAGTCACTAAAATAAAATGCACTATTATTTAACAACATAGCATAAACATAAAAAAATATGACTGCAATAAATAAATTTAATTAAAATTTCAGATTCAATTTTGGATCAGTACCGATCATAATTTGTTTATGCTAAAATATGACATTCATTATTGTAGAAGATAACATTAAGCTTTAGAGATTATGCACTCATTGTTTGTTTTCTATACTTCTCAAAAATTCATTTTTAGAAATATGTCTTAAGAACTAGGATCAATAATTAAATAATAATAATAAAAACCTTGAATGATAACATTCTCACTAGCTTTAAAAAAGATAATTCTTTTAAAAGTTTAATAATTAATACCTGAAATGGAAAACAAGTGCTGGTTGCCTTCTTCTTAACAACTGGTATCTTTCTTGCTGAAGGTGCAGGTGATATTGTTGGCATAATAGTGCTACCTACAAATATTTTACAATGAATTCATTGATTATAAATATCATAAGATAAAAAATTAAATTTAAATTGTTTTTGTTGCCAAGGATTTTAGATGCTTAAATTTAGTGAAAAAGAATATTTAAAAATAGTAAAATAACTAAATAAACAGATGAGCTAACAGTTATTCAAACAGCTAGCAAAATCACAAAGGAATTGAAAAATAACAGGGAGAAAAATCTTAAGCATAAAAAAAAGACTTTTTACATCATCCTGTTGATAGTAATTCATTTAAGAAGTAAACAATGTTAATTATGCTTATGTTCAAAGTTATAATTCAGAATATAGAGTTAAGAAATATCATTTAAACATTTAAGCTTTTGAATTAAAAAAAAAAAGAGTTTTTGAATTGAATAAATGAAACATACTATTTAATAATGCTGATGGCTTTAATAAAAACTTCAGAATTGCTTCTATAAGACTCTCTTTTGACTCATCAACAATATACTGTGAAACACAAAGGACAGTAGCCACTACTTTAAGATCTTCCAAACTCATCCTAAGCACAAAGAGTTTTTAATGCAAAAACAAATACTGTAAAACAGTAAACACAATAACAATAATATATAAACTAGATATTATTGAATTTTCTTAGCAATATCATTTCAAAAAAATGCTTGGTTTCCAACAGAAATAAAAACATTAACACTAAAGATGTACTAAAGTTTTGACAGGCCTTGTGAAAATCGTAGCTTTTACCAGACTGGTTCTAGGAACCCAGTAAAAATTTAAGCTGTGTATATCATAAAAAATTAGAATTTTCATATAGCACGGTTATTACAGCATTTTTGCAAAATAATATAAAAATCAAAAAAATTCCTATTGAACAATTATTGTACAACATATAGTTTAGAGTAAATTTATTATGTGCATACATAAATAAAGAGAAAAGTATTTACTTTTCAATTTTTGAGCAATTTTGCCTAATAATAAAAATTATCATGCCTTACCAGTAATTTTAGTTTAAATGATTAAGAACTAAATGACTACACGTGTTTAATAAACTATTATTTTTTTTATGAATAGTGTCTAAGTACACAATCTTAACATGGCTGTATTTAACATAAATGAGTGTTACCCAGCAAATTTAGCTAGATTCTAAGCATCTAGTACTGAAAGATAAGAACTGATAACTAGGTTTGAGTACTGGGTTCTAAAAATTTGGCCAGGAACGGTGGAGTGGCAGTGTCTAATAAAAAAGTGATGTTCATCTTTGTGGAAAAAGATTCGAAATGACATTTCAGCAAATTTAAAAACATCAGCTTTAGATATTATAGAAAAAGCAAGAAGTTGTTTACAAAACATACTTGCCCTTTAATAACTGTCTGACATTGTAAAAAAATTAAGTTTTTGACATAAAGTTGATTATAACATGTTTTTTAATAAACAGTTTTGTATTTCTATGACTAATACAACATTTTGTAAAAAAATGGAAAGTTTTATTTTGTTTATAAATTTTTAAAAACATAGGAATAAAATTATAAATATTTGATAAGAAAATTTGTAAAACGTTCATAATGTAAAAATTATAAAATGTAATAAAGTTGATGTTCACACTTATACACAATTAATTTTATTAATATGAAAGAAAAAAAGGTTCTAATCTTACTGTTCCATTAAGTTCCTACGACACTGATACTCTGTAGAATTTTCATCAAAATGATAGCCAGAAAATTCAAGCACATTACGACGAATGTTATTTTGCTGAAAATTAAATCCCAAAGTTAACACAATAATTTCAGAGAATATGTAATAAAAATTTATTACCCAAATTTGCATATCAAAAAGAAAATGCACATACACAAAAATTTATTATTCAAAGTATTAAAAATTCATTAATCTTGAACAAACTTATAGCAACATCCCATAAAATTAAAGGTTTAAATAAAAGGTTTTATAACTTTTCAGTCAGGTAACATCTTTGATACTGGAAATTCAATGTTGAGCATTACATTTCCGCTTGTAAATTGACAGACAAAATAATATTAATGACGCAAAGTTGTTTTATCATGTAAACATTAGACTTCCATCTTTAAATCTCTTTACTTTCGGACTAGGACAAAAACATTCATTGAAAATAAACTCAAGGTAAATATAACAGGTTCATAACTTGTTATGCTATTATTTTGGCAGCACTATGTTTCTTTTCAAATTTTTACTTGGCTTTAAATAGATAAAGGAAGGGTAGCTTTAATCAGCACAATGGGATTATATGAGGGTCATGTTTAAAGTAAGAATCGCTTGCACATCCTGTTAAGCGATGTCAGATCAAGGTCGAAAAATCTTGGCAAGTCTCTAGCTAGGCCGGCAGTATGTTTCTGCAAGTGTTTGTTGTATGGATAGATTGCTTCGTTTATCACCATGTCAATCAGTATTTCAACAGATTGTGCTGTGAGTTTGATTTTGCTTAGTTATTCGGTTTTTAAATGCAAAAAAAAAAAACATTGTTCTGATGAAATTTTCAAGCAGCTTGTTGAAGTTTATGGTGAAGGTGTAATGAATGATGGAAATGCATAGAAATGGTGTAGGCTTTTTAATGAAAGAAGAACGATCTGGATGGCCTACTGTCGTGAATGGGAAGTACTGGATCTTCTGCCATATTTCCTTGACCTAGCATCATCAGACTTTTATCTGTTTTCAAAGCTTAAAGAGCTTTTTAGTGCAAAGTGCTTAGAAAATGATGACATATTGAAAGAAACTGTTAACTGGTTTAATGGTTAGACTACAAAGATCTTTGAGGATGGGATCCAAATGCTGGTGTGATGACTTGGATAAATGTTCACATTTTAGTTAGTGATACAATTTGCGTTCATAAAGTTTCTCTTACTCCATTACAAAATGGATCTCACTTAAAAAATGACCTTTGTATTTAAAATTTTGCTTTTGTCAGATTGTGTTGCCGCATATAGCTTTTTGACGAGAACTTATTTTGTTCAATAACAGATGAGAAACAGACACATAAAATGCTGACATCCATATTACACTGTTAATGTTTTGCTCGAAAGATGAAAATTAATTGATGCTTGATTTTTTCTCCCTTACACACTGAGAGAGCAAAAGAACATAATATTCAAATAAATTTTCTGATTTTTTATATATTTCCGTTAAATTTTAAACTTATTTATTCACATTATATGTTTCATAATTTTTTAATTTTAAATATGTCCTATATCTTTTTGGAGAGCAAAGTTCCCGATGGAGACCAGTATGATAACCTCTTATTTAAATATTAATCTGTCGAAATGCTGAAAGAAAAGTTTTTTCCTTTCTTTGCAAAATAGAAAACATTTCATTTCTTCAAATTATACATATTTATCCATAGTTTGGAGTTTATTAAAATGTAAAATATTAAAAAATTCCACATATATACTCTCTTTCTAACACTAGAGCAAGTAATTAAAATATCACATTATTTGAATAGATGAATTAAGGTATAATTCTAGAACTTTTTTAGTCAATTCTTACAGATACTTACATTACACTTAATAACATACATTTTTACTCACATCTATAAAAATATATACATGTATCAATACAATTCTAATATACTTACAGCACTAGTGGTTAGGTATAAAATCATGTGAACATCGCTTAATTTGGCAGCTGGAGTACTAATAACTTGGTAGTGTACTGTTAAAAAAATGGAATGTAATGCATTTAAATAGATCAACACAAGTTCATATAAAAACTGATGTAAACTTTTTCACATCAATGGAGATACTTACTATTTGAGAAATGTTTCAGTTTAACTCCTAAATATTCATTATCATTTGTCATGCTACACTCAAGATTGGAAGGTGCTGATAAATAAACAAAAAATTTGCATATAATACAAATGATTATACACAGAATAAAAATATTATTTTTTTAGACTTGTGTTAGAGGTTACCTATAAATTTTTTGGTTAATTTAGAGCCCTAATAATACTAAAGATATCCTAAACTTGTAATGTTTTGGATGGAAAAAAAACAATTTTTTTTTATCTTGTCTCATGTATTTTTATTATAAGAGTGCTCCTTTTTATTTGCATTTTAATTAATTCTAATTCTTTCAGTTCTCAATATTATTGAATTTTAACACATTTTTAGTAAGAACTAAAAAGTAAACAATAATAATTGATACTCAGATATCAAATGCCAAATTTATTTAAAATATTAAACTCTGCCATCTTTTATTAATATTAATCCTCCAAGCATTGAGCCCCTGGGTAAAATTGTAGAGAAATTTCCCAAATGCACTATGTTTCCCTTCAATAGCATGGAAAAACTGGTTTTTTGACGCAGGAAAGCCCACATCTGTAAGTTCGGGAAAAGCTGGGACTAATATTCAGAGGGTTAAAAAAAATGAAGTATTCATCTTTTTTTCTGAGGGGAAAATGGTAAATTGAAAAAATCTTTTACTTTTTAATATTGTCATAGTCATAGAGTTTTGATTAAAATTCACAATTATATATCTTAGTACTTGAAACAAAAAAAGATAAGCTAGGTACAAAGTAAATAAAATAAAATTTAAACCCTCAAATCATTAGTTCAGCTTTATACAAACTTCAGACTGGTTGGTTTTGTGCCAAAAGAAAAAATTTGCCCTCTTTATTATTAAATGTGAAAGTTGTGCTGAGCTACTCAAATAAGGAAAATTTAAAATTATTTCCTTGAAAAAGATTATTAAATACTTGCCTTGAAAATATGTGTTACATCTAGAACAAAGTGATTCATATCTTTTCTAAGTAAAACAATTTTGAATATTGGAAAGAATTTTTATCATTTCAGAACTATTTTTAGGCGTTAATCTTAATGGTAATGAATTATCCACGTAGTGCTGGGTTATTTCATTTTTAAAAGTACAACCTTAACATAGTAATCATTATTTTGCTATCAATTGATTCTGGTACAAATATGTACCAACAGTTCTGAAAGAGTTTAAATTATAGAATGATACAAATTAACTACTGCTAATTTATTATTTTACCCAAAAATATTTGAATTTACAATTGAGGTACTAAAGCTTTTAAAATTGATAAAAAATGTAAATGAATCATTTACAGGAAACTTTAGTGATTAGGGGGAAATAATTATAGCAAAGTTTTCTTACATTCATCGGATATATGTATGTCAGGAACTATTTCTATTTCCTCAGATTCTGCTGACTTCAGCTAAGGAAGAAATTATGTATTAAATGTTAGCATCCTAAGTTTCATTCTATCAATATAGGAAATAGTATCAATGTTATCATAATTTCCTGCATATAATATAGTGTGGCTTTGAGGAGAACTCCTCCCGACTGAATGTCTGGGGCTGTCTGCTGCTATGGTAACAAGGAAAAGCACATTTCTAATGGGGGTGAAATGAAGGAAAGAAGGTGTCGATTGATTTACTCACGATGATCTAAGCTAAGATTAAGACAAAACTATTCATCTCACACCCCTATCCAAAGTGACTTTTCTTTGTAACCATAGTACCCGCCACGATGCGAGACGGGTGTCTGGAGGAGTTCTCCTGAAAGCCGTACTGTACATGGATTATCTGTTAAAAACATTGAAATCATCACTGCCTGTAGTCTGGCAAAATTATTTATCTGGTATCACAAATTTCCTAATGACTTTCGCCAGGCATAAAAGTGTAAAGGACTATTCACACTGGACGCGACAAATATGAGCATGCAAATTCAGAGATGCATATGAGTAACTTAGTCATAAAATATATTTGTAAAAGCAAAAAAAAAAAAAAAAANAAAAAAAAAAAAAAAAAAAAAAAAAAAAAAAAAAAAAAAAAAAAAAAAGCTAGTAAATTTGCATATCCGACCTTGCAAATAGGGTTTTTCAAATCCAGTGTGAACGCCACTTAATCATGAATATGTGCGCTTGCTTATTTCTTTGCAGATGCCCATTGACTTATATAGTATGACATAGATTCGCTGATATATGACTTAGATTTTGCCGGTGGAATGAGTTTTGAAATTCGTTGTTATTTCTCCCGTGCTAAACCAGCCACCATAAAATTTGTGAGGTATATGGCATTGCGGGTTGTTAACTGAAACTTTGCCTACTGATTGAAATTCTTGCCTGCAAATTATAAGACATTGTGGATAATCCGCAGGGAACAAATAGAAAATTTCAATTCTATAGTGAATTGAAATAAGTTTAATTCAGATAAGAGAGGCAAATAAAAACATTTAAATATAAAAAAGAGATTAGGAAATTTGTTGAAAATTTATAACAAATTTATGAAATACCTCAGGCAATGGAGATTTGATAGCTTTAATTCCATCGAATGAAAATGTAATTTCATCAGTAAAATGAGGAGGAACTGAAAGAAAATGAACTAAGTAAGTTTTTGTAATTAACAAATTTTTGAATTTTTATTTTATTTTTCAAAAAAAAAAGTTTTTAAATACATGTTTGTCTGCTTATCATCCGTTTCATTACAGTTTGAAATTTTATATTACTTCTTATTTGTTTGGGTGAACATAATTTTCTTAGTTAACTATACTTTACTAAACAAAACATTTTTCTCCTTTTGCCACTATTTTTTTTCTTCTTCATTTTTTGAAAAAGAACAGAAAATAATTCATTGTATTTTTTCATTATTTGCTAGTCAAATTTAAAACATGGTTTAAATTTTGGAATCAGTCAAGGTCATTCAAATGTCTAGGAGATCATTACGCAATACATGCTGTAAAAACGACGATAAAAAAAAATGGATGAAAAATTATTTCACATAGAACAGGAACTCTGTGTATAAATTTAATAAGCAGAAAAATCTCTGAATGTCTATTATTAGTTTGATTATATATTATGTTGATTATAAGATATAGTATTAAAAACAGCATTTTAAATTACCTACATAAAGTAATAAAAAAAACACCTACATGAAAGAAAATTAAATAAATATTTTTAATTGCAAATACTTCTTTGCTCATAGTGTTCAGTTAATTTTTGAAGACTCTGCAAGGTGAAAGTGGTTGTTAGAATGCATTTCTATCTTTTATGATTAACGCGTTAATTGTTTCCTAAATTTGGACCTAATACAGTTTGGATATTGCTTTTGTTTTTAGGTGAGCTACTTTCTCTACATAAATTTGGTCATAAGAAATGTTTAGACTTAAGGAAAAATGATTGATTAACTAGTTATTTTTACTCCATGTCAGCTGGAATCTGAGAAAATATCAGAAATTTGAATTTTCAAACATTTTTAACACTAGATTTTTTTTTAAAAAAATGGTGGTTGCGATTTCCATTTAGGACGGTTCTGTAATAACAGATATTTAATATTTTTTAAAGAAATGAATGAAAATAAGAAGGCATTAATTGAATTATAACTTTTTAATTTGTTCATAATGGTTTTGATACTTGAAATGTGTCCATTTCTTCTTTTCAAAAAAAAAAAATTTTTTTTTTCTGTAATATTTTTTCTTTACACTCACAAAATTTTTCACACTTTAAAACCATTAAAAGTATGGTAGATTATTCAATACAAATTAATAACAAAATTACATGAACTATCCCTTTAAAAAAAAAAACTGCAATTCAATGTTGTTTACACTTAAGAGACAAAATTATCCCTAAGTTAAATGGGTTTACTTTATTTGATAAAAATAAAAATTGAGTTCTGAAATATTTATAATTTTAAAAGTAGACTTCAAGCAATGAAAAATATTTGTAATGATAGAACTCACTCTGGTTTATAGTATTCAAAAGATATTTAACATCCCAATTAAAATTATAACAGCAATAACAAAAATATATTATAAAATTTATGAAATGCACCGCGAATACAGACTGAAGCAAATCTTTTAACAAGTTTTAAATCACACAAGGAGATTACAAAGAACATCAAACCTCTCTTCTTCATAACAGAAATTCGAGGTGCTGCAAGGAAGTCCATAATTGCTTCAGTCAAGAGCTGTCTTGATTTATGCCACGTTGGAAGACAAAGAACTTTACAAATAAGTTTCAGTTGCTCTGCAGGTAAACTAGGGGAGAAAAAAAAACAGTTAAATAGCCGGATTGAAATACTTAAGAGTAAAAAGATATCAGTCAAAAAGAAAAGAAACTTTATATTGAGTCAATCAATAAACAGATGCAACACATTTTAATGCAAACTTTTTAAATTGAATTTGTCACAATGTGAATAATTAAGTGGAAATTTTTTTTTTTTTACTAATGCTTAGAAGCAAACAGTTTTGAGATTAATGACAAAATGCCACTAAATATATTAGAATTTGTCGAAAAATACTGATCTGTATTCCTTAATCTTAGTCACGCAAAGAATAAGATAAGAAGATCCAATCATTTATAGTACTCCATGCCACAAAATATGACCTGTAGCTTTCACATATGATCTCATAAGCCAAATTGTTTCCCAACATGCACATTTACAGGGCACACACTAAATAAAAAATTACATGGCCACATTTTAGTGATATTTTGTCTTATATCAAAAACAAATTACTCAGAAATGTATGCAGGCTTTCAACTAGTCTTAATTTATGGACTTTAAGTCTTAATATATTATTTAACTAGACTTAATTCAATCTTAATTAATAGAGAGGATAAAAAAAATTACATAGGATTTAACTGTAACAAATTCATGCATTAATTAAGGCTGAATATAATACTAAGTCAAACAAATTTATTTATTTTTTGATAATTTAATTAGCTGTTATAAGAAATGCTCATGAGAAAATATTTTGGGAATCAAGTTAAAATTAATTGTGCTTCTAAATCGTTTTTGAATTAGGTTAGTTAGAAAGAAAAAAAAGAATTTTTAATCTTCTTAATTTAACACTTAAAACATAACAAATTCTTAATTTTGTCAAAATTTTCAGAAAAAGTTCATCTGAAACTGTAAAAAAATATTTTAATAGTTTTTCAATAAGTATTCCTGTAAATTCTTTTTATTAATTTTAAAAGACAGAAAAAAAAATAGTAACATACAACTTCACTAATTTAATACGAATGAAAAGGTAATCATGAAGAGTACGAAACTCATTATGAATGTTTGTGAAGAAAAGAGATTGTATCTGTATCAGTGCTCAAATAACAACTTCATTGTGTGAGTCCATAAATGAATTATTTCAAGACTAATCTGAAAAGAGTCCGCAAATTGATATTAAATACAGGAATTAAATTTGAAGTACTGGAGTTCGTACTTTATAATTGATGTAAGCAGATCTGTTCCTCAGAGAAGTTGAAATATGATGAACTGCCAAAGTGAATAAAGGCAATTACTTGATTATAAGATAAAACTTTAAAATAATATTGCCACCTAGGATAACTTTTTAAAATTAATAATTTAATTTTAATTTTGTGATAAAATTCTACCCCTCTTATTACCTCATTTGTTTTTAATATTTATTTTATTTGCTTATCTGCTTCATTTTATTTTTATTATTCCTTTTGTTACAAATTATCTGCTAATTTGTAAGGATTGTATATTTCAAAGGATTTGTGCATGTAACAAGGTAAATTTTATTATATATATNTTTTATTTTAGATCTGACAAAAACAATTAAATGCGTAACAAAACAAATGGGAATAAATAAATGGAACAATTTTAAATAAATAAATACAAAAAATTAATAATATATATATATATATATATATAACAAGTTTTAAGAAATTTACTAAGCTTTATATTTTGGAAATGAACTGATACTAAATATATATGTTTTTTTCTGATGCACGATTGCAAAGTACTAAATATTTTTCAGTACGAAGTACAAAATGTCAAATACAGATCCATCTCTAACTCTAATTTTAATTTTTTAGTATGTACCTTCATACACAAATAAAGGATGTTAGTTCAGTCCAGAGACTAAACTTTACAACCATCTAATTTTATAACCATCGTTGAACAGTCGACCCAATTTTTGGGTTTGCATCTACTAATGTTCAACTATGTAGCCTTGTAATTTTGAAGCCCATCCAGAAGACAAGAGAATTCCTGGATCAAGTATTGGGAGAAATTTGCCTTCGTGAACTTCTTTTTTATGGAACTAACCCGCATTTGCGTTACATGGAGAGGAAGACCACGAGAACCTCCCACGGTTAGCCTGATGGCAAGGGGACTCTAACCCATGATCCGCTTACCACTGAGGGTACTTCACGTCAGCACTGTGGTCGATGCAAGCTGGATGCAGAATATATGTCAACCAGCCATGGCTGGGATTCGAACCCAATTCACCTCATTGGAAGGCGAACGCTCTATCCCCTGAGCCATAGATTACTTTTGATAAAACGTGACGAAAAGTAATTTTTTTAACAGATAGAAACAAATAAGCAAAATTCAACTTACGCTGCAAGAATTCTTACTCTGTACATATATTCATTAGAACCAACTTCACATTTGTATCCACTGAATTCAAGAATACTTTTTCGCATGTTGACTTTCTATTCAAAATAAGATAAAAAAATTTTTAAAAAAATAATGTATACATTTTACAGGCTAGTAATGAATACATTTTACAGACAAATAATGAAAATATTTCCTCGGTACTGAGAAAACTGTATTGAATTATTAGTTATTGAGGCAAAAAGTAAAATGTGTAGTTTCAGCGCTGCAATGGCCATACACTCCGATATTTATTCTGAAAATAATATTTAAGAGAAAAAACACAAAAACATTATCAAAATCTGACAAAGACAGTTTTGAAAACACCCAGAGTAGTTTTAATACCAATTGAAACTTGAAAGTGTTTTTAGTAGTTACTTTTCATTCAGTTCTCATTTTCACTTTCTCTCAGCTTCCCTTTTATTCAGTTCTCTTCAGCAATCTAGCAGGTTTTGATGTTTTCTATCCTACTTTTTTTTTTAAAAAAAATAAAGTAACAATTTTTCAGGTTTTGACAGGGCCTTTAATTTTTTCCCTGCTTAAATATCAATCTGAAACCTCTTATGTGCTGATTTAATTTAATTCCTTTTTAGAAGGACTCTAAAAATATACATTAAGAGCAGTGATTGCAGACCATCCTGTTGTGCCACAAGTAATACTTAAGACCTACATTATATTCTCATAAATATTTTTTATATCTATTGAAGTATTTTCTGCATAAATATTAAAATAATGTAAACGGATGCACTTCATCAAATCAAAATATATATGAACAATGAAACAGAAGAGTTATAAGTGATTTTCAAAACAAACTTTAACATACCTCATCAACATTTAAAAACAGCAGACGATGTAATAATTCGATGAATGGATCTGAAGCAGCTTGAATACTATGAACAACTGAAAAAGAATATATATATATATATATATACATATTAAGCATTCACATACAACATAATATTTCTTTAAGTCTTTATTATATAAGAATAATATGTAATAATATATATATATGTGTGTGTATGCATATGCGCACTTATCTACAATAATGGAAGAGACACGTTGAGTTGTTCACATTTTTTAAAAAACTTCTTACAAAATACTTAAAGAATTATTTTATAACTTTAGAAATAATCAAAAAGTTTAAAGCTTTCAGAGGTTTCTTAGGCCGACAATAAATTACGAAAGAAAACAAGTATTTTAGAACACCCTATGCTAGAAAATCAAGCAATAAACTTGTAACTTGAATTGATTACTCTAGTTGTTATTTTTAATTTTTTTTAATAATTATTTTTAATAATAAAATTTCATAAAACTAGATTATTTATGAAGATATGGACATTTTATTAAAAAAACAAATTTGTTTGCCTTAAGTTTTTTTGCAATAACTTTATAAATATTCAATGGAAAACAAAGTTTTTAAAGAAAGATTAAAATTAATTGCAAAATTATTTATTTAAAATTTTAAAAAAATTCGTTAAAAATTGAGCAAGATATCAAGTAGTTCAAGTAGTACAGCGAAAGAGCGAAAAAAAAATTTCCTTCATTTTGTACTGAATCGTATTTGGTAACTAATTAAAAAAAGTTTGATTTGAATATCTGAAAAATTTAAAAAGTTTCAAGAAATTTTCAAAATAGTTTTTACAGTCTTTAAAAGAATATATATACGTATATGTATATATATACATGTAAAAACAAAATTAACATGCATAAACAAAACCATTTATTTAAAGGTAAATCCTCAAAGGGTTAAAATTGTTTAAATAAACATTCCAATACTTTATAAACTTACTTGCACGAATGAACTTCAATTTAACTCCATTTCCTTCAACAAAGTAATCAGGTTTTACCCAGGCAATATCATTTAGCTCTGAATCTAAAATAAACAATTTTAATATTCAGATAGCCAATTATTTTAGTAGTTAAGTAATCATAAAATACTGTAATAATTCAGAAGTTATTGTCCGTTATCACAGACTGTTACCTGCATGTCCTAACTCTCTGAACTAGGTTTAGGTACAGATCAAAACTAGGCTGCTGTTTTCCGTTTTAAATATTAATTTAAGATAGATTAAAACTTCCATTTTATGGTACAAAAACAAGCATATAAATATAATTCTAACTTACAAAATAGAGCAGTTAAAGTTATTTATACTTCATTGATATATATCGATTCTTGAACAGGGTGTGTAGCCAAATCTTTCAACAAAAAATACACACCTTTTAAGCTCTCAAAAATATTTTTAAGCACTACATACATTAACAAAATGAAAAATAATTTTCTAAGACTATAATGACATGATCATGATAAAATAATCAGTTTCTGACAAAGGACTGCGTTCTTGATTATATTAGCCATTATAAAAAGATCAAGAGGTTTTTCGGTTTGATATCTGAGGGTGAAAAATGAAGCCTGAAATTGAGAATATCTTGCAAAATGCAGCAGAGTTGCATATGAGAGTGCAAGAATCTCACCGTGCCTAGCTCAGTATATGCACATACGAGCCCGCAAGTATTTAACCAAATATGTAAAACGTTTGACTCTTTCATACGAAAGCATGCTTTTGAATAATACATGGCGTAAATCAACATGGTGAAGAAAAAAAATATCTTATTTTTGAAAAGGGAAAATTAAGCACTTTTTAAAAACACCCAATGAAAAAAACACCTTTAAGTGCTTTTAAAAAAATAAAATCAAAAATAAGCACCTTTAAGCACCTTTTAAAAATGCTACACATCATGTTGAATGATACATGAACAAAGAGATGAATTTGAATTTAATTTCCATAACATATTTCTTCTATCATGAACATAAGATTCTTTGACTAAATTTCTAAGACTACTTTTCTCTTAAACAGATACCTTTCTTAATGAGACAATTTGTTGGGTTTTTTAAAGGTAAACTGGGATTTAACTGTACATAAAACTAAAAGTACACATAAGAAATGTTAAAAAATTACTTACTTTCCTCTCCAAGAGAAAGATCTCTCATACCGTCCTAAAAAACAGTGCAAAAATATGTTAATTAAGAGCTTGTATACTTTTGAGAATATAACAGATACCAGAAAGAATATAAAAGTTGTCATAACATTGAATAATAATTAGTTATAAACTTGCATTGAAATAAAATTTTAGCTGTTACATTTCTTGAGAATAGAAATATTTGCAATTATTTTTTATAAAATTGAATTAAAATTAGTTAAATGATTTATTTATTAAAAGACAGATTAGAGATGATCAAATTTATGAAATAAAGGAAATTTAAAAGCTAGGTAATGTACAATGCCTTATAGTTTCATCACACTAACTGCTTTTTTTTTACAAGTTAAGTTGGTCCACTATTCAAATACCTTTACATAAAATTGTTGAAAATTTGTTATAACTGTTAAAAAAGGAAAATCATCTAAGTTTTATAATAGTCACTTTATAAAAAAATCTTTTGAAGCATTATCTGTTTTTATAAAAATAAAAAAAGTATATACCTGATCTGTTGGACACAACAGCATTGGCTGAAAAGGATCCTATTAAAGTAATAATAATAAAATATATAAAAATATCAAAAATTAACTTCAATACAATAGCATTGTGACAAAAAAATCATAATTTATAAAACTAATAAAAAAATTGGAGTTTCTTAAATTGATTTTTTCATAAGTAAAATGGATATAAAATATTGAATGACTTAAGGTTGTTACATTAAGCTTTGAAATATGATTTTTTTTCATTTGTATATATTATAAGGAAAAAAAAGCTAAAGAAATCTTTTATTTTACGAAAGAGATTTTTTATACAATTGAATTCAAAGGGTAAGAAAAAAAGATACATAAAATTTTTCCTCTGCATATTGCAATGCTTTTAAAAAAAAAGTCAGCAGTTTTTTCGTTTATTAATTTTTTTGTTAGTAATTAGTAAATATGAAAATGTAGTAATAAACTTGCAGATTTTTTTATTATTTATTTTAAGTTTTTCACACTACTCAAAATTTCTTTACATGGGTTTTGAAAATTTTCTTTAAATCTTTTTAATGAGAAAACGATATTTGAACAATATTTTAAAAAAATTTCTTCTAAACATTTAGAAAATTCAACAGTAGAGAACTGATTTTCAGAGTGTCCTTAGAAGAAAAAAAGTATTTTGGACACAATTTCTTAAAAATTAACAGACTAATCTTACTAAAATATTGCACACTGCTCCTTGAAATGTCTAAATCTAATAATTTTTCTTCCCTTTTCTTTATTTCAAATAATTTCAATTTGTATCTTAATTCATAAAATTAAATGATACATTAAGACACAAAACCTGATAAATAAAATGCTCACTAAAATTTCATTGCCACTAAAAAGAACAATCACTTTTAAATAAATAATTGCAGTAAATCACTTAATGACTAACAAATGATTACCTGAATAACTCTCAAGGATTGGCACATTGCTTTTCCTATATTCAGACTTGACTGTTGCATTTTCCCAGCCATGGCAACTAAATATAAATATCAGATTATCACATAATGAAAAAAAAAACACCTTAATTATAAAAATAAATTATAAAAATAAATTAACAAATATTTATAAAATATAATATTAGCTTGTAAAGAGACATTGTTTATAAGTATTAATGAAAAAATTAAAAACATTTTAAAAAAAATACCTTTCATATATTCCTCTACACTTTCTCGATTTGGTTTCAATAAAAATCCAATGATCCGATCTATCATTACTTCTTTACTGGCTCGATGAAGAGCTAACAAGTCACACAGATGCCCAAGTGAACTAGCATTAGCTCTACAAAGTGTTATAAAATTCAAATTTATTTAAATCTCAAATAAAAGACAATGAACAGGTAATTCATCAACACCAAATATTGTAAAATAAAAATTGAAGAAAATGTAATGAACATATTGTTTATACACAGATAACATTTTTAAGCATTTTTAATAATTATGTCAAAAGAAAAAGAACCAAATAGTTAGAAAATGAAAGGTTACTTCATTCAGAACGTATAAAAAACTTTTTTACAATTTTTTCATGTATTAAAATTTAGGTGGAAGAACCATATGAAGGTATATTGCATTTAGGGATATTTTATATTAAAAACTGTTAACTGTTTTTAAGTTTTACATTTACTGTTTTTAAGTTTATTTTTATAGCTTTTTTAAAAAATCAAAATTATTCTCAGGCATTTTTCGTATTACCTCGATCATTGATAAAATTTAGGTTGCTTGTCTGCTAAGTTTAATGGCACAAATGCCAGAAATGGTTAAACTTTGGCAAATATAAATACTATGTACTTATTTTAATGAAATTAAACTTTTTTATAAACTGAATCAATTACAAAAAATTATAGAGACAAAACTAAAGGAGGAAATATCGCTAGAATTCCTCACAGTAACACAAAAAAGTTTAAAACCTCTGAGAGCATTTCGCATTTATCACTTTTAACCATTTAACTGTTGACTTAGAGCACAATTTGGGGAAAGTTTCCAGCTCTGAAAGCAGATTTTCTTACTTGTCATTTAGAGGAAATACTGCCATTTGAAAGGAAATTTTGAATGCAAATTGTAAAAGTTTTTGAATCAGCGTGAAAGTTTTTAAATCAGTATGGAAAATGTATCTAAAGAAATCACATTAAAATTTTTGCAGGATATTGTAACATATGCAAATAGAATGTCCTTGTAGTTAACAGACAAAGAATGAAATTTCTATTTAAAAAATTTCAGAATTTCAACTTGAAATTTTATACTGTTAGCTTACTCAAAGAAGTTAAATAGCAATAACAATAGTTATTGTTTGAATATTAAACAAACAGTTTTTTTAAAAAAAATTTTACTCATGTCTTACTTTATTTTATAACCATACTTAATTCAACCATTTCGCATTTGAACAATTTTATATATTGTCTCCTCAGTACACAACTTTTTATTGATAACAATGGAGTTAACTAACTTTAAGAACAGCAGGAGAAGATACATTTTTAGACATTACAATCTAAGGCTTAATCAGTAGAAAAAAATTAAACTTAGAATGGTTTAGTATTTAATAATTTTACTGTCAGTAAAACAATGCACATTCCTCTTTCAACAATTAATTCTCTAGGGCTTCCTATTTATGGGCAAATTTCCCTTCATACTTAGTTTTCCTACAGAGAAATAATTTTATTGTGAGAAACATGCTGGCTAAAAGGCAGAATTCTAAAGTAAGACAGTCAAGAGTTGTATTTTTCTTTATTTTTCTTTTTGGTTTAAAATTTGCAATTTTGTCAACAGATCAAACCAGAGAGTGCAGTTTTGAAAACTACAAACCACTAAAAATAGAACAGACTGTTCTATTTCAGTTAACATTCTAGGATTTAAAAAAAGCCATATAAAGCTGTTTTTATTTGTATTAGTATGGTAATATTACACATTCAAAAAACACATATAAACAAATTGATCAAAGAACACACCATGGAAATAAACTCTAACTTACTATAACTATATGTCTTAACTGTTAAATCAAAGGAGTTAAATCAAAGAGTTAAATCAAAAGAGTTCAATAAAACTGTCAAATCATAATCAAGATTATTATCAAAAATATAAACTTAATAGCTTTTAAATACACTAACTTTTCTAGCTGTTCTCTTCTCTTCATCATTTCTGGATGAGTTCCATCAAAAGGGAAACCACTGAATTTTCCAACAGTTTTTCTTATAAGTTTCTCCTAAAAATGCAATACATGATTGTAAAGTGATATTATTTTTTTAAACCATACTTTAATCACCAAAACCATAATGATATAAAAAAGAAAGAAAAAACAAATTTTATTTAAAAAGAAAATGAATTCACAAATAGATATGAAAAACAAACAAAAAAAAGAATACCAAACTTTTATAAAACATTTTGATTAGATAACGGAACTTTGTTTCTGAGGAGCCGGAGTTCGATCCTTGATGCCGTTAAGATCCACCGAGTACAAGCCATACATGTGCTCATAGATCTGTGAAATTGAAAGACTTGTGGTTTGCTGCTGAGCAGTAAAATGGATACAGGGATCTGGAGAAAATTTCTTTCTCCTTCTGATCTATGACTAAATTGAGAAAGTGGCATCACGAATGAGTGGTATTGCCATCTAGCCGTGGGTCATCTGTTAATGACTTGATAAGAGTGAACTAAGACGTACTTACCCTTGTGGTGCCAAATCAAAAGCACATCTTCCTGACTTAATTTACAAAAGGCTAATGGCTGTTGGGCTTGGATTAGTATTCTTTCTTTTTTTTTTTTGCATACAAAAAACATGAAACATGACAACTCTACATCAAAAGAATGTGCGGCATAATAGCATCAAAAATTCTGTTGTTTTTATTGTTGACTAAGAAAACAAATCAGAAAGAATTTTATACATGACTAAAAGAGCACACATTGTTTCAAAAATTTGATTGGTTAAAATATTTTCTTTAAACGAAAATCTTTTTATAACCCATAATTAAGTTGAACAAACTCGATTTTAATAAATTAAAATGAGAAAAAAGAAAATTGCTTGAAAAAATTCTTATTTGAATACTAAATTTGTTCACTTTCCCAATAAATAAATTAAATTTTACATGCAAATAATAAGATACTTACTGAAAACATTCCTTGTTTGCGATAAATAGTCCTATGAAGTAAACGTAGTGTATAAATAGAAGCAACTTGTAATTTTGTATGAACTGAAAAAATTTTACAAAAATTAGTGATAATTAAAGCAGATAGTGTGATGTCGAAACACAGTTAAAATAAAGAAAGCACAATATATTGAATGTGGAACCATGAAGAATAATGATTAATTCTTTTTGTGAATTTTAAATGAGTTCATTAAAAATAATAAAAATAAGGAAAAAAATTTTCTATACTCTATAAATTGCATTTAAATGGCTGAACAAGAAATTTAAAATCTAAAAATTTTTTAAGAAAAACCACTAATCGAGATTACTAAGTTGTTGATTTCCCGTATTTGAAAGGAGGAAAAGAAATTTAAGAAAGTTGCCAAAAAATTAGATCTTGTCTCAACAGTTATAACTAATTGAGGGAATCACATTCTTTAAATAAAAAAAAATTGATTTAACTAAAATTTGTTATTAGATTTCTAAATACTTATGCCATTAACAAAAATTCTGGTTTACTTTAACAAGGTAAGAAATTCTTTCTGCTTAGTTTTAGCAATATCACCAAGAATGAAGTGGTGATTTAGATCATCCAGTTAAGAATTTTCACACACCTGATGTATTTATAGACAGTGCTGCAAATGTTCTGAGCATTCCACACACTTCAACTTATTTTTTTTTCTATAGTCAATTAGATTATATTCTTTCAATGTTAAATCATATAGATGCCAAGTTCCACCCCTGTAACAGGAGTTTTTTTTTCTTCGTTCAAATTTAAGGTGGTTGTAAATTTCATGATTATTATTCAATTCAATTAAGGCCACCAAAGTGTATAAACATAAACAATCTAAATATATGTTTGTTGAAGACTTGACAACATTGCAGTGAAGTTTTCCAAATAATTTTACTTTTATAGTTACTACTTTCAACTACTTAAACATTGTTGGAAGGAAGAATTTCTGAGTTGGTAAAAATAAATTGAGGCGCTTAGTAGAAATCATTGATAAGGGCTAGCGACATTCAAAACTATAAAATTTTATTTTCTGATCAACTTTTTCCAGATAAAATTTTTTTAATTTCATAAAAAAAGCTTTAATATTTTAATTGTCTTTCATATAATATAAGGTTTACTTAACTAAAAAGATTTTTCCTGACAGCCTACAAATTTCAGTTGTCTCCTTTATAATAAAGAAATTATGCAAAAGAAAAATATTAAATTTATTAATAAAAAACAAGGTTTACAAAAGAATATAAAATATAAGTGAATATTGTTCTTGTTATATTAATTTTTCATATGGTATTCATATGGTATAACACATTTATATGTAAGGATATTAAACATAAATAATTTAATTCTTTCTTATTATTAATACTTATTAAAATATGCATATAAACTATTAGCAATGGTAGAATGGAATAAGGGAAAAAAACCGCCATCAAAAACTTGTAAAATACTTTTTATATACAATTTCGTTTTTTAAAGCAAATAAAAAATTATAATGTTGTAATTATAGCAAATGTCAAAATCTGTGATGAAAAAGTGATGTCTACTAATATTAAAGATAATAATGTCTCCTAATGATTGCTTAATAAAGTTTCATCCTATAAAAGATGAAAAAGCTAATTTATTCTTCACATAATTTGTCCTGCCCTGATACCAACATAACATTGAAATTAAATGTAAATTTGTATTTTTTAAATTCTAATCTTAATTAAAGAAAACTTAAATAAAAAATATATAAAAATAAAATAATAAAAATGCAATTCAATTAGAATACAATATATTAAAAACTATTATCAGTAAATAAATAAATTATTATTAGGGTCCATGGCAGTATGGCAAGAAATGTCACCAAATGTTCTACAAAATCATATGCATGGGCAACAAACTTATTAAAATATGTTAGGAATCTACAAAATAATAACGAAAAATTGTTTTTTTTTGCATCGAATTCCAATAATTAAAAACAATTATTGTACAAATTTTATCAGTCTAGACCTAGAACTCAAAAGTGTGGTACTCAAATGGAATAACTGATAGTGTCTCTTACAAAATTTTTTAATATTAAATGTTGAAATTTCAAATTTACATGTTTACTGTTGCATTCAAGTATTAACAATATATTTGCTCATCAATATAATAATGTGTTTTTCTCTTTTAGACTTGACTTTTATAATTTTACTTTGAATTTTATAATTTCTGAACTGAGAACTAGCAAAATATTTCATAAATTTTTTATAATGAAATGTTTTGCTAGTTCTCAGTTTTTCTCATTTATTTATTTATTTGATTTCAGCATTTTAGTCTCTATATTGAATTAGTCTATTTATTTAGTCTATTTATTTAGTCCATATATTTAGTCTATTATACTATTATTATTTTAGGATCTTTTCACTTAATTTTAAAAAAACACTTATCTTCAATCATTATGAGGTAATGCACCTACTTAGTAATTATAGTTATATAGATGGCAATTAATATTTTTTGATGTGCATCATAATATGAATTATTGCAAATTTTTTCTCTCTGAAGTTTGATTACTATATTAAATTTTTGGACTGCTAAAGGAATACCTAGCTGGTCCTATTGGACTGCTAAATTTTCCTTACTGGTGTGAAAACTCTAATTATTAGTAAATAAATAAAAATTATCAGTTGATAAAGGTTAAATAGGAACAATAAAAACACAAAAAATATATACATATTAACCAATAAAAATAAAATGAACTTACTCCAATTTATGCAGCCTAAAGGTTCTCCAAATCCTTCACAATCATCCATACATGATTTTCTTTTATCAACAGGAACCAACTCAAATCTTTGAGGGGCTTTTTTCTGCCGTTTCCCACTAACATCTGCTGGTTGATTTAGAGTCCCTGAAATTAAAAGAACAATCTCAAACTGAATTACTATAAGTACACTAGTTATTTTTCTACTTAACTATAACTATTCTACTTCCTGTTTAAAATAGAAACGTTAGTACTGTTCTGTTAGTTGGGCACAAATACACTCTAATACATTTTTATTTATTTTTTCGGTTTTTGGGAAAGGAAGGGTGTGATGGGCATTTTTTGTATTAAAAACAAATAAATAAAAATAAACTAAACCCAGTGGTGTGACAGCCCAAGAAGGGGCAAGAGCAGGCTCAGTGGTCAGCTGAACTCAGAAGCCTCAATGTTTAGTCCTCAAGAATGCTCAGTACTCATTTTATTGATCCACGGAAGAAATGAAAGTCTGAGTCAATTTTAACCACATTTGAGAATAGATTGCAGGACATGTGGTACGGGAGCACCAAAGCACTACAACTCAGTCATCAGGTGTCATGGAGACATAAATAAAAATAAACCATTGAATTTATTTGTGGCATGCTAATGTAAAAGTACGGAAACATTTATGTATATGAAACAATATATCTATTATGGAACAGGAAATTATTATTTGAAAATTAAAATTAACCATTTACCTCCGAAATACTCTTGCACCTGAAATTTTTTCCTGATGCTTAGCTAAAGAAATCGAACAAATAATGTGAAGATTAAAAATAAAAAAATTAAAAAAAGAGCAAATGATAATTAACTTAAAAAAGTTAACAATACAGATTAATACACATACTTAGATAAACAGAAATACAGGAGAAGTACTGCTATTAAAGCACAACCAAAATTCTGATAACAAAAAATAAAAGTTTTTACATCATACTCTACATCTTTTAAGTTGGTGAAAAAATGAAAAAAAAAAAAAATTAAGAGTTATTTTTTTCCTGTTTGTTTTAGACACTTCATTTACACCACCATCATGAAGGTTTAAATTATTATTAATAAAAATTATTACTATTATTATTTATTTTTTTCTTACATTTCTTACAATTAAATTTTTTAATTTTTTGATCAACAAATATGAATTCAGGGGCAAAATTAGATATCCAAAAAATAAAAAAATAATGTTTTGAAGCTATAACTAGGAAAACAATTTATAGTAGGGAAAATAAGATTGAAAAAAAGTACACCAATTGTTTAAAAAAAGTTAAGTAAAATACATAATTTAGTCCTTGTCACAGCCAGAAAATATTTCTGATTAGGTTTTCCGATCTATAAATTTCTTAAGGATTTAACTTTCAATTTTTGACAGTAAAAATAGAAAAATTATAAACAATAAACTATTTATAAAAAGTGTGTGCAACATTTACAAAGTTGTTAAAATAAGTTTAAGCACAATTTTGAGCTTATGTCATATTTATTATGTTTTAATTAAAATCTGAACTTTTATCTTCACTTTATCTTCACAGTTTAAATTTTTTTCACAACATTTTTTATACTTTTCTTTTTTCCCTAAAGTTTTTTGAATAAAATTCTTTTACGCTTTCTCCTAATTGTATGCTTAATACACAAAGATTGAACCAATGAGAGCTGGAAACCATTGCAATTTCTTTTAAATATTTACAGCAAAACTTTTACATTTATTTGCATTTTGCTTATTTTATAATGTTTTTATCAGTTATGGGAGAGTTTTCTAAAAATTTAATCTCTTTCCCAATTTATTGGCAACTGGTTTAAATCCTGAAAACTCCCACCCTGTTCCACCAAAAGTAGTAATAATATAATAACATGCTCCTATAAAAAGTAAATAACAAAAAAAACTTACATTTCAAATTTTTTAATTTCAGTTCCACAGCCCGTTTTTTCCGTTTTTCTTTTATTGTCTCTGGATCATCATTTTTATCGTAGATCTGACCACGACGTTTCCGACCAGGTCTCCTCACAGGAATAGTTTCTGGTGGTTTTTGAGGAGGCTCAGATTTGTCAATTACATTGCTTGTTTTGGATTCTTTTTCTTCTTTATTAGATGAATCTGAATCATAATCTTTCTGATTCTCATTTGACTCGGAAACAGAATTTACTTCCGAGATTTGTGAAGCGTCATCCTCAGAAGCCATTTTTATTTGAAGAGAAGGAGTCAAATACTGTAGCTCAAGGAAGCATCATATACTAAACATTGCAAAGGTTGATGACAACTACCCCAGAGTAACAATTGTTATCATGTTAAAAAAAGCAATGATAAAACCTAGAACAGACATTAAATTAGACAAGTTCTTACATTTTTTTAAACAGGCATACTTTTTTTACAGAAATATTTTAACCATATTTATTAGGGGTCTGTCCATGCCAAATTTACCGTTTAGCGGTACCTTCACAAATTCAACTTTAGGAAAAACGGCAGCTTCACAAAATACTCTTTCTTAAAATTTTATTTTTGTATACCTTAAGAAACGATAAATCCATATTTTTACCATATTCTGTGTGTTGATTTTTTAATATAATTTTTAATTTTCACAAATTATGTCTAAATTTTTGCAAAATAGGTACCTCTCAGAAAAAACTAGACAGACCCCTGTTTATAAAAACAAACAATATTAAAACAATATTTTCTGTTAAAAACCTTCTTATTTCTGATAGACCTTAATAAAATCAAAAAAACTTAAATACCTTTGATAAATGTTGTAAAATACAATAAAGGAAAAAGAGTGAACTTAAATACAAAAAAAAATCAGAGATTGACCAAAATTTCCTTAAAAAAATATAGTATTTATTACTTAGTTTTTTTATTTTTTCAAAGAAAATTGCAGAGAATTTCTTTAGATCTATGTAAAGAAACAATTTCATGAAAAAGGTCTTCAAAAATTCTACAAAATCTGAAAATAAGGCTTTTAGTACTTAGAGGAAGAGGCCTCTAAAAAAGTTTGTCCTTGGGGCTTGTAAAACTTATATTCAGCCTTGCTTGCATAAAACTTTGAAACTAGGTATACTCAACATTTGTTGATCATTTTCTTCCAAAAATCAAACACAAAGACAGTCTTTATTATTATCTACTCTATTTTGGAAAAATAATAAAAAATTGCAAAATAATTATTGAGGCTAAAGAAGCTTAACCCATTATGGATCACCCACAAAAGAATTTGAATATATATATTAAAAATACCTATATGTGAAAAAGAGGAAAAACATATGTGTTTATACCAAATGGATATTTTTTAGAGAGATTTCCATATTAGAAACTACACTAAAATAATTGTCAATTTTTTTAGACTTTTGAGCCAACAGACTGCAACAAACAAAAAATTGCAAATGTAGACAAACCCAAAGGTGGTGGTAGTTGGAGCAAACAGATACTGATACGGTAAAATATCTGAATGGGGCAAATCAAAGGACAAAATCTGTATCTAGCCACTTTCGGGCAAACCACAATAAATAAATACATCAGGAATAAAAGTTTAGGACCGGAACACTTTGGCATTGCAGTTGGTGCTTTTAGGATCCAATACAAAAATGTCCTTTCTTAAACAGTTTTTCATGTGTTTTTAAAAAATAAAAACTCTGGCAGACATCAGATGCAAAGTTACAAAGTACTGTTTCTAAAATTTCAGAATACAAAAAATATATTACTAAGAGAGATATTTCTTCCGATTACTACTGTTAGTACATCAGAAATGTTCCTTAAATATTGATTTTCCTATCTAATTCTTTTCGGTTGCAAGGGAGAGAGTCATACTTTTAACATTTTAAACAAGAAAGATGAGTAAAACAGTAAAAATAAATGTTAAATAAAAATATAAGAATAAAGTTTAAAGAAAACATGATCAGTAAAGCTTAAGGTACAGAAAACGCTACGAAAATAGATGCTTTGGAGTTAAATAGTTAAAAAAAATATTGATCTATTGTTAATATTCACAACTTAAATTCAACTATAAGGCACAAATGCAAGAAACAATGTAAACAGAAAATCAGCACATTATTTAATAAATGATCTTACAAATATACAAAATTAAAATTGTTTCGTGCAATTTATAGTTTTATACTATATATTATTGTATACGGCTTGTTCACTTCACCGTCTAAACCGAGAACAAAACTCAGCGCTGAGGAAAACAAATAATATAAATAAGGCAGTGTCTATTACACCGACTATCGGTAAGATAGCCTCAGAGCTATCGCGCCGACGTTGACAACAGCGCCACTTTACAGAAACTAATTCATCGGTACAATAGCTATAAGTTATGCTTTTCTACCTGTGTATGTGAAATTGGTAATGGGTTGTCATTGTTTCACCAACAACAAAAAATTTAAAAATAAAAGAACATTATTTCTTTTTTCCTTAAAGCGTATAAAATTTTTCATAGAATTTTTAAAAACTAAATTATTTATTAACATTATATTGGATTTATTTAAATATATTAATTGTTTCTTTTGACTCATTTATATTTTAATTAATAATTTAAATAAAGTTTTTACTAAAGTACAAATAAAGGTGTCTTTTCCTACTTTTTTTTCTGGTGAANCATTTTTTTTAATGAATTCTTCCACCATGTGTATTTCAATTCCAGCGGAGCCTTATCAAATTTTTTAAATTTCTTTGAAGCATTTTGTAAAGTTTTCGCTTCTCTCTTCCAGAAGATCGTCCTTTTTTCTTTTTCAAATTCATGAATGGCTATTTGTTATTCTTCATATGAAGAAAATCAAGATGCTACAAAAATTGTAGCTGCCTTGACTACGATAAACAGAGCTAAATTATTTTTGAAAAAAAAATCGGAGAGTCACGTGGACAGATACGCTCTATGATTGGTTAAAAATTTGATCGGTAAGATAGCAAAATGAATTTTACTGCGCCGATAATCGGTGCAATAGACACTCCGTATAAATAAAGCGTCATGAGACGTGATGCCATCTTTAAACTACTAAATATTTCATTTTAATAAGAACAGTCACTCAGAGTTTATTCGTGCTGCATTCGAATGCCGCAACTGTGAAGTCGTTCAATCATCAATTTTACCGAAATATGGACAAACTTTATTAATTATAAGCTATTTTAGATTTTAAAAAAATACTAAAAAAAATATACAAATCAATCAAAAGTTTTCAACTGTTAGAAACTAGAGTTGGGATCGTATCTTTGACAGCACTGAGCGTATGGATATTCATAGGAAAAGAAAGTTAATTAATTTCTGTCCAGATTTTCAAATAGATTAAAAACTTATAAGTGAGGAAGCATTGTGGAACTGAAACCTACATTTAACATAGTTCTGGTTCTGAAAGAAAGCGTTGTAGAAATTTTAGAAAATATTTCTGACATTTAAATACGAAAAAATCTCGTAGTGTATTCCCATACAACTGAAAAGATGAGGACATGGAACCGGTCTTCTCCCAAGATGGTATATTCGAATGTTGCGATCGCGAATTGGCGCCGGTCTGGGAAACATCCTTGCGGATGAACCGGAAACAACATACATACATCACTGCCCGTTTCACAGGGAAGACACATTTACACAGCATCCATCCGTAGAGCGCAATTTTAACCTGAACCAGAGCACGATCAATCTCCGATCCAGTACACCCAGAGGTATTAATTTGTTATGGGAACTTTTGAGACCCAATAAAGTCACCATTTTGCACATGGGAAGTCTTCGGTCAGCGGAAATCGAACTCACGACCTCCCGGACATGGGCCCAATGCCCCACCGAAAAACTAATATAAAAGGGCAAAAACAAAAAATTAAAGTACATTGAGAAAAATAACACTTTTTTACAGGTTAGAATGTTGAAAATAAATTTCAACACTCCATTGCAAGTTTTTTTTGGGAGGATTATACATTCGTTTAAATTAATAAGCATTAGTTTACTTTTTTTTTTTATCGATTTCTAATTTCTACAGAAAAACTTTTCTTTTCAGAATCCGATTTAGGCAATTTTTATTGTCTCAATTAATGCCTCCAACTACATTTATATAACAAAACCTTTGCCACGTTTATTTACAATCACTATTTTATACTGTCACTCTCAATTCGAAAATTCATTACCATGTCTGTTATCGATAATTTGTGTAATTCAGAAGGTCAGGCACTTTCTCTGATTAAAATATTTCGTGAGAGTACAGAAACTGATCACAATTCTATTTCAAAAATCGTCAGTCATCTCATTTTTTTTACGTCACAGGATAAATCCTTAATATTTTTTTTCGATTTGTGATCCTTGAGAATAAGGTTTCGTAGCATATCAGTGAAAATTTAACAATATATTAATAAAACTAAAGTACATAAGAAGCTATCCTTTCCCCCATATTCAGAGGGAACGCTATCAAAGATGGAAATCCTTTGAATTATTTTAATTGCAAAAAAAAGAACAATTACTTCAGTCTATGGTATCCCCCCCCCAAATTTTTTAAAAAATTACTTTCAAGAAACCTGAAACAAATTCTATAAAGGAATATTGTTTACATTTTAGGTTTATTTAGCATCATTTTTACAGATTTAATTTGGATAGTATTTTCGAAAATTTTTAAAATGAGTTTTTTACTCAACTATTGTAGTACTAGTAGTAGTCTCTCAATAACATTTTAAATGAATGTAGACAAATAAAATAAAAAGCTTAACTTTTTCTTTGTTTCAACCATTTATTTCACAATAACAGAAGCGCAAAAGATAGTACTAAGTAGTACTATATAGAAAGCAACAATAATCCTTCTTCACAATATTTACAAATACACAAATAAATCTTTTTCCAATAAATTTCTCTTTTCTCCATTAATCACTCAATCAGCATCACCAAGAACAATATTTCATTGTTAAAATGAAAAAGATAGACAATATAAGATGGGAAGTTTCAAAAGGAATGTTATGGTGGCACAATATTTACAAGTTTATGCAAATGATGGCTAACACAGTGGGACAGTTATTTTTAATATTCGACACAAAAAATGGGATTTTCTTCCAAGTTGAACATTTCAATAACAAATATTATATTTAACAAGTAGACAGGCAAGTAGTTATCATATATTTATACAACAAATAATAAACTGTAGTAACATAATGGTTTAATTAAAAGCCTTTTAATATTTACTAATTTTTAAAAAGAACAAAGAATTGGCAACAATTACAATAGTGTAACAAAAACAAAAGTATGATAAAAACATTGAAACATAATTTTCTATATGATTATAAATGAAATGTACTACACAGATTAAGATTTTGCACACATAACTATTAAGATCAAGAGTATAATTAATTTTTATTATTGTAAATAAAGATCTTCAAAACAATTGCACTAAAAATAAAAAGTTTTAAACAACAAAAAGGGTAAATACTGTACTTTTAACCTTCATATAAATATAATGTTAAAAAATATATATATGATAACACAAATGCAAGTTTAGTACTTGTTTTATTTTTAAAAACCTTAAAGAAAGCACTATTTGCTTGAAAAGTACAGGGTAAAAGTTATTAAAAAAATAACATAAATGATTAATAGTATAAATTAATCAATGTAAATAATTTGTTATTTAATAGTCCAATTTTAAAATTCTAAATAATATACGTAAAAAATATTTATAATTTTTTTTTCTCCAATTAATATAGTATAAATTAAGACAATCTTTAGTACAACCATCTATTTCCATTGCTTAGTAAAACAATTAATACACAAACTGAATGAACTATGCATTTTTTACATTACACAATTTTAGAGCTTTAGCCAATTTTTTAAATGAAGTCAACTCTGTTTCCCAATATTTACACATTTACATTGTAATTTTCAAACCTCGTACTAACAAACACTTTTACTTTTAAAAGTTTTTTTTAAGTAATAAAATTTTGAAAATTTCAAAAAAATAAAAAACTACTGATTATTTAAAAAGAATTATAACTACACATCAAAAATTAGTTATTCAAATTACTAATTTCAATCTGAAACTTTTCATGGATTTCAATTTTAGAAAATATTCTTAATCAAAAGTGCAATCATTGTCAAGCATTTGTTAGTAAATGCTGAAGCTTTTAAAATCATAAAACTTAAGAGCCATGTAGATGAACATTGTTCCTATAATTAATAACCAAGATATTTTCTCCAGGTTTTATTTCACGGTTTAATGTTCAATAGCAGATGAGCAATAGAAACCAAAGTTATTAATGATAAAAAGTCACTTTCCATGTGCTAATTAAACCCAAAAGAACTGGACTAAACTGAGAACATTCCTTTTTAAATAAAAAAAAGGAAAAATGAAAACTGCACAATATAAAAAAAAAAAAAGTGCTGGATACATATATTTTTCTTGTGAAGTAAGTTCTAGAAATTATTAATCCAATTTTTCCAAAATTATCGTATTTGTTATTATTTTATATAGAGGGGTTTTTAATAGTGTTAATAATGCGCTAACTATGCCTGATTACGCTTGTGCAAAATATAACTGTCATTCTATACAGCAACATATTACAATTAAAAATATTTAAATAAACCTACAACATATTATTTATTAACTTGTTTTTTTTTTGCCACAGATGTAATAGAGTTTTCTGACAATGATTGTACTACATAAAAAAAAAAATACTTTAATCAAATCTGAAATGAACTGAAATGCATTTTAAGAATACAACCAGTTTTTAAAGAATACATTAAAAGTAATTGAAACAACCAAATATCACAGATAAACAAAAAACGCTAAGCTTAACAAATTAAACTAAATTTAAGTAACAATAATTAACAGAGTTTTAGCAAATTTTTGCTGAAAATAAAGTGTTAAAACAAGGCAGTGGATTTGGCAAAAATTTAAAATTAATTTGATTCCACTGCCAAATTATACATCTAAATAAAAATGTAGGTTAGCAGGAAAAAGAGCTTCCAAAACAAGGATATGGAATTTGCAACTTAAACTCTACACAAAGTAAAATGATATCTGAATAAAATGAATTTTGTTTTAACAACACATAATAACAAAAACACACAGTATTGTGACTATATCAATTTTTTAAAGAAAAAACAAAACAAATATATATATAAATATGTATAGATAATTCTAATGTTTTGATTGATGCCCTTCTATCAATAACTCTTCAACTTTTACAAAAGCTGAATAATAAAGGTATGTACAATTGGTGTCATTAAGCAGTCATTGCTATTCTGCATAGATTGTAATGTAGTAAATTTTGGCACAAATTTTAAAATAGGAATATCACGAAGTATTTTTAAGATTTTATATTCATATCTTATGAGTAGATTAAATATTTAAGAAATATTCTTTAGAACATCAATTAGTTTTGGAAAATGAAACAAGTATTTTCCAGTTAAAATTATTTATTTTTAAGATTTAAACTTTTTTCTCACAAATAAAGTTTAAGTATGATTCAGACATTACTCTATTTACCATTTATTTTGAGATAGGAAGATACATATTTTCATTCTAAATAGCAAGTAATTAATAAAAGAATAGAATTATAAATTTTGGCAATCTCATCTGAAGCTGAAACAGAATAGGAACACCATAATCAAGAGAATTTGACATTAAATTGAGTCTCAATTATATTTAATAATAGGGTACCTCAAACAATTTTTGTTAAACTATTTCCAATTCTTTTATCTAATAGTTCCGATAATAATGTTAAGAATTATTAGCACAATACTTTTTATTTATAACATATGCATCATTTCTATTTTTTAATTTAATTAAAAATAATATTATGGCTAGAAAGCATTAAGTAAAATTTTCAACAGTTTTATTCAGAATGAAGTTAACTTAAAAGCTTATTTGCCATATTTTAATATTAAAAGCATTTTCTTCAAGTGTAATTAATTTCTTTACAGTTAAAACTATTATTTTGTTTTAAAATTTTTGAATAAATATTTTTGAGTGCAAATACTGAGTAAGAAAAAAATTAAATTGCTTAACAAGTTTTTGTTTTACGCAGTTAAAAACACCCAAGTAGAATATAGAGTTTCATTTATTAACATATGAAAATGAAGTCATTTATTAACATATGAAAATTTTTGAATAAATATTTTTGAGTGCAAATACTGAGTAAGAAAAAAATTAAATTGCTTAACAAGTTTTTGTTTTACGCAGCTAAAAACACCTAAGTAGAATATAGAGTTTCATTTATTAACATATGAAAATGAAGAGTTACATTTTTGGTCATATTCACATTTGTGCATGCTTTGTCTCGATGAAAAAAAAAATCAATTTACATAGCTTCGATCTAAGAAATTTGGTAAAGAAAATGATGTACACAAAGATGTTTGATGGTATACCTGCAAACAGTACCAATAAAATCTCTTAATACTGGACATGCTCTCAAATTAACTAATAATATTTTAAGAAACTTCAATTTAAATAGCAATCTTTAATTATTTTTGCATATCAATATCATTTCTATTTTAAAAGTTGGACTCAAAATGATCCTATTTAAACTTATATTTCAAATACAACACTCACATACACACCTGTGACTTAAGTCTCAAAATAAAACCATTTTGACTATCCCATTTTAAAATTATACCTCTGAACTTGGGGTTATACATTCTTTAAGATATGAATATACAAGTTATAAAAGGGAAAGTAAATGTATAAACACTTTGCTTATTCATCAATCACATTATATCTGATATTTGCTCATATATTTCTCTTTCCTCACACAGACTAATAAAATATAGATGCATAAATAACAAATTTTTACACTAAGCTCACTGGTATAGATATTTGAAAACATGACAAGATAACACACAAAGAGATGAAAATCAAGTCCTATTTGCATAGGATATAAAAATCAGAACTGAGTTTACTTCATTAACATCTATCAGTCATTTGGTAAAAGGCACAACCCCTTTTTTTAAAGCAATTATGTCAGAACATAATAGCATTGAAACAAACTCCTGGTATTATTGTTATCTGGTTAATACTCTTAACCAATTTTAGTGAGGCACGTTATTCATCTTTAGCTTCCTTGCCTGTAGGCTTGTCTAACATGAAGTCTTCAATGGAGAGGAACTTTGCCTTTTTTAGCTCTTTTCTCTGTTCGGAGAATTCACTAGATTTTGGGCTAAGTGGGTGCTTGGAAGGATTGGTGGTGGAGCACTCGGCCTCACAAATTTCTCGTTCACCCCTAGAATCACGCTCTTGATTGGAATTGGGATTGATTCCTGTAATGATTCAGTTATTTATTTTATAATAACTGTTTATATTGATTCAATTTATTGCAACACAAAGGTAATAATCTCAGAGTTACAGACTTAATTAGAATAACAATAATAAAATGCTGGGAAAGTACGGTGTCTTCAATTGTGAACATACTTTAGGATGTCGAGAGTTTGCACAAATTTTTATTTCTATAAAGTAAGTTTTCTATGGTTAATTAACATTTTCCTTCTTCTGAAATTACCTAATTCAGCATAGATACTAACAAAATCACATGATTGAAGTTAAGATTTTCAAAACATAAAACCTTATGTTAAACCTCAATAAAATAAACTTTGTGGGCCCAGATAAAGTTACTGTCATAAAATAGTGCATTTCAATAAATAAATAAAAAAAATCATTAGAAAAAAGNGCATAACATCAGTTTCAGTTACTGACACTGGTGATGTATCACCACTATGCTAAAGGAATTGAACATGAATGAAATAACAGTATTCTTGAATAATACTATAGATAAATAAACCTGTTTATGACTAACCAAACACTTAGTCCCTAATAGCTTAATCTGTAAGGCAAGGTACAAATCCAGTTATGTATTATTGAATGAGAGGACCAAATGAACTTGATTACTGATTAATCTTCCTTTGTTTAATGTTTAAATTGAAAAGTCAAAGGATATTAACAAAACATTATACTTTTAAAAACGAATATTCTGTAGTAAATTTAATTATCAATGTGTTATTAGTTCTATGTTTATTTTACCTATTAAATATTGTTCAGATAAAATTGTGACATAATTTGAGTAAAAGGGTTTTGGACAGTTTAAGACAAAGGGGTTTTGGACAGGACGGTTTAAACCGTGGATTAATCCATTTTGTCCTAATCCTTGCCAACCCTGCTATTACTGCTATACACATTTAAAAATTAAATTAAATTTAGTAGAAACTAAGAGAGATAATAATACAATTAGGTAAAATTTCAGACAATTTTATTCAACATAAAACAGACATGGGCATATGAGATTGCAAAAAACAGAAGAAAAAAAGGAATTCATTTTAAAGTTAAGCTATATTTAATCATATCAGAAATATTTTATTAAAAGTAAAACAAACCAGAAATGAAAAATAAGGCTACACACAATAAGGGAGGGGAAAAATAAAATAAAACAGAATCAAATCTAATAATTTGTTAATGATTTTTTAAAAAACAAAACCAAACAATTTACTTTGAAAGATAGAGTTTCACTTTTTAGAATACAGGAAAATGTTAGCTTGTTCAAAGCAAAGGAAAGTAAATTAAAACATGGATTCAACATGCAGAGCTAGATAAAAGAGTAAAAATTGCCTACTTAAACAAATTACAAAGAAAGTGCTTTTTATGAAGAGTATTTGTATCTCACCTTATTAGTTTTTATCATTAAAAAAATGAGATGAGAATCATTATTTAGATCAATAAAAATCTTTGATCACGCAATAAAAAATATGGCAAAATTCACTAGAAATCGGCTTTTACATTTAATAATTAAAAACTAATGAAAAGTACCTTAATATTGATGTCTAAATTTGTGCGAAACACATTTTATTATTAACTTAAGATAAATTTTATTTTTAAAAAAAATCTTATTTATTTTGATTGATAATGATTTATTCATAGTATCTTTGTTGACAATAATTCATACTTTTTTCAAATTATATTATATTATTGACATTATTTTCATCACTGATATCAGTGTTAATATTGGAATGAGGGTCGTCATTAATTTGTGGTATTTCGATGGGCATCAGATACAAATTAATCTTACTCGAACTTACTATACTTCTTTTATTTATTGAACAATGCTTAACAGGTTACTTGCCTCACAATGCAATTGTTTATTTTTTTTTATTATGTAATTTTTTTTCACTTTTTATTGTTCAGCAAAATGGGCGCTTGTTCTGCAATGTGCCTCAAAATTTTAAGCATATTCTGCTATGGAGCATGTATGATTCTTAGAAATAAAAGACAAACATAAAATTGTCAATATTTAAAAATGAAATCAAAAATGACTTTTTTATCTGATGTAAAAAAATTGTGGTATGATGACATGAATACCATTGCATTTTTAGACTAGCATCAGTGATTTTATAATTGTTAATCAGAAATATTTCAAACATTTAATATTAACTACGCTAAAATTTTTTAGGCTATCAGAAAATAGCCTCAACTTTTGGTAATGTCAAGAAAAATTACCTTGCCATAAGAAAATCAAGAGTAAAAGCTGCAAAAATGAAGAAAAAAATACATAGAAAAAAAAAATCCAAAAAAATTCAAAGCATAACAATTAATCATTAAACTTATTTTTGGAAATTTTTAGATTTGAGTATTAATGCAAGTGATTATGCTTCAATACAAAATCACTTGCATTAACATCCAAAGCTTTATCATAGCAAAAAATTAAACTAATTAAGTTAACAATTTGGGCATGGCGTGGCATTAATGAATGCCTCAGCTCATAAATTCAATAAGACCACATGAATCTATTTAGGGCTGCCACACTACAATGTTGAACATGCAGATATTTAAAATTCACCATCTGTGTGAACTATTTATATTAGCTGGCTATGAATAATTGCTCTACACCCCTGCTTAATGCTTTAATATCAAGAAATATATAATGCTTTCAAAATTTTTCCACAAAAGGTTTGAAAATTTTAGCACAGTATTTCAAAACTTTAAGATAAGTTTGCCATGAATAGAAAAGATAAATTTTAGACTTGAATATGTATTTTAAATTTGATTAATATATTAAAAAAGTAAAAACTGAAAGAACAATACAAAAAAAGTAAGAACTTGGCAGAAAATTGAACATGGTTGAATGGCAGAAAAATTTCCTATTTATTTTTATATTAATAATGTTAAAATAAGTCTTTTATTAATATAAAAGAAAAAGTTAAGAGATTTTTTGTCATTTTTTTTTCTCAGGGATATGAAAGCCTGTAGTAAAATTAAAGATTTAAATTACACAAACCATGAATCCAATCCCTTATTAGAAATAAGTTTTTCAAAGGATTTATATGTATGACATGAGCTAGCATTAAAATAATTTGCATAACAATCAAAGAAAATGTATCTGTAATAAAGATAAACATCACCTACGGAGGAGTGAGCCCCGATACCAGAACCTACAGAAGGATTATATATTTGACTTCCTGGGAGAGACAGAGATGAACTTAAATACTGGTTACAGTGAGGGCACTTATTTGTTGAATGTGTTGAAGGACTAAAAGCATCTCTGCTGCCTATAAAAAATAAGTGATTATGACAAATTGCTTTTCATATACTTTAGTTAACTTTACAAAACAGCATAAACAAAAAAAAAAAAAAAAAAAAAAAAAAAAAAAAAAAAAAATNAAAAAAAAGTACTGGACAGAAAAAGGTAATTACCAGGACTTAGAGGACGCGAAGAACTAGGAGAAGGAATATGAAAAACAGGACTGGATGCAGCTCTAGGTCGAGCATGCCATGAGTAGGTCATTTCATTAAAGTACCTGAAAAATTAAAATGTAGAAAATTTTTTAAACCAAGATTTTAAAATAAATTTGCTGAGAAAATCTCCATACTATATTGTTCCCATTCATAACAATTCAAAACAAACTTTTTCAGGCAATTTCTAATTTGAGCTTACTATCGAATTTTTATATAATACATGCATATATTTGGGTCATTACCATATCGAGCAGGATTACTGATATTTTATTTAAATTTGTAAGAGAGATGTAAACTTAAATAATGACACTATTACAGTGGTTTTGACTGTTTTACAAGATTTATTAAACATAATTATTTAAACATAAACTAAATGATGACCACCATTTTTGTGGACACAACATTTGCTTTTAGTTAAAAACTATATTGCCAAATCTTCAAAGCAAATATTGTAAAACATGAAGTATTCTCTATTGTTTGTAACTCTTAACAAAATGAGACATTGAGAAAAGATTTATGAACTGTAAAAACATACAAAGGTCATCTAAATAAAGTCATTGTTTTTTTCTCCCCTTTTTTTGTTCCCACAGATGTGACAAAGGCATTTGATTTGAAATAAAGAGCATATAAAAGTTTATAATAATATTCTTTTTTTTTTTTAAATCCAGAATTTTAAATGCATTTTTAATCAAAAACATTATTTATTGAGACCTTCTAATTTGTAAGTCTTTGAAGCCTGATCAATTTTAATCTGAACCTCTTTATATCCTGGCATTGTGAATGAGATAAACAAATTTAGTATTTGAAAAATAATAGGTAATTAAAATTTCAAGCTAATACCTTTCTTCATCCATTTCAAGACTAGACTCACTCTCAGATAAGTGACGGCACAAAGCCTCCCTGCGCTCAACCTCTAACTGAAGTTTTCTTTGAAGTCTCTTATTTTCTTCTCTACCATGTCTCTCTTCCATTGCAAATTGAGCCATTTTTTCAGAATCTAAAACAGAAATAGTTTTAAAATAAGGCCAAAGAGTAAAGTCAAGAAAGAAATTATGGTTTCTTAACAAAAACATTGTTGGTGAGCTTGTCATTGCTTACGAACAAAAGCTTTTGAAATGTGGGTTTAAGAAAATAGACATAACTTAAAATGCGTGTTTAAGAAAATAGACATAGCTCAAAATATGTGTTTGTGTTTAAAAAAATGGACATAGCTCAAAATGTGTTTTAAAAAATGCACATACCTCAAATTCATGCTAAGAAAATGCACAATACAAAAAAATTCACCTTTTTAATATTCAACACATATTTAACAACTAAACAAAGAATTGTATACAAACTTTTCTTTACTATTTTTATCACTAACCATAATCATTAAGGGGCAAAATCCAGGACTCCAAAGTGGCTGGGTATATTACAGATATAACTTAATAGGTGATCTTTATGTATTCAGAACACTAAACAATTCAATGGTTTTTAGAAATTTAAATTCATATACATTAAATTTAATACACTGTGGTCTTTTTGTTTCATGGCTTGAGTGATGGCATTCTTTAAAGCTTCCGCCTAATATACTGTCTGTGTTGTAGGAATTAAGTTTTAATTGTATGGTAGGTGCGATTATGCAATCTTCATATTTTGCAATTTCTGCTCCCGTTCCATCATCCTTCTTGGATCTATCTGTAAATATGTTTATTTTTCTCGTAAGTCAGACTTGTTAAATTATTGTGGAAAATTTTTTATTTCCCACGAGGTTTATTCTCATTGCTCTGCTGAAGGATGATGTGTAGCGGAAGGATTGCCAGAATAACCTGAATGGCATTTGTGGGGGATGTACAATAGGCACAGGAGATATTCTGCAGAAATTTTATCCGAGTGCTATAGAGTTTGTTTCTGGTTTGTTTTTTGGGATTAAAAAATCTGACATAGCTGAATTTTTAATGTCAATTATATTATTTTAAAATGATAAACTTGAATAACATATGTTTTTTTTTTTACTGCACTTGCTAAATCTTAAAATAATCTTAATTCATGCTTCATTTAATAATTACATCTCTAAAATTTACTGAGTTGATTTTTTATCTCCATAAAATTCCATTTTTTACCCCATGAAATAACTCAAGAGTACTGCAAATTTTAATAACAAATCCAGTAAAATAAGACTACCATTAAAGCCTAAAATATTTTATATGAGTAGTGGGTGGTCCCTCCGGTTCAAATGCCCAAGATTAAAAAATACCTATTTCTATCTTTATTAAGTAAATAAATAAAATGGAGAGGACTGCTCTGGTCCCACATGAAAATACTTTGTGTTTTTATTATTTTGATGCTCTGTTTTTATTATTTTTATGCACCCACATGAAAAGAAAAAATCTCATATTGGAATGGAGAAAATTAAACACTTTTTACAGACCAATAACAAATAAACACTTTTAAAAAAACAAATATCAGTAATAAGTATTGCCTACTTTAAGTATTGTGCCAACTATTTTAATTGTATATATTTATAAGTGTTTTTTTTCATTTTATTTTGATCATAATTTGAGTTGTCTGCTTCATCAGTGGCAAGTATGAAGGAAATTAGAAAGTATAAAAACTTCGTAAGTTATACATATATTGTCTATATTTTGTAATTACAACTTAAACTTACTCATGTTTGAACTCAGCTGCATTAATTAAATTATCATTTATGTAATGTTTTAATTTTGGATGATCATGATATTAGTTGAGCCATATTTGTAAGTTGATGCCTTAAAGATAAAGTTATTGAAATAAAAATACAAATTTAAATAATTGAATAAAAAAATCAAAGGAAATTACGTTCTTGCTGGGCATTCAGAAGCTGAGTTTTCAACTTTGCAACTTCATTTCTTAGGTGTTGAACATGCATTGTTAAGTTCGCAGCAAGATCTCCATTGTTTATGTCTCTTGGAGAGGGAGGAGCAGATACAGGTTGATCTAATTTTTCTTGAAGCATTCTGAAAAATGCAAAATTTACAAAATGCACAATAGTATGGTTAAAAGAAAACTGAGTACTCTGAAAAAATGAGAAGATAATTTTTTTTTTTTTTACAAGATTGTAAAATAATAATAAATGAAAGAGTTCACTTAAAAAATAACTAAAAATATTGTTTTTGTGGAACAAACTTATGCAAGTTTTGCTGCTTCATGAAGTGAAAAGTATCAAATTTAACACAATGTTATAATAATATATTTCTTAGTCTTTTAACAAGAGGATTGATGTAACACTAATAGATCAACACATTGTCAGTGAACAGGTTATTAGAAAACGTTTAAATTATCTAGGAAAAATGAAGTACAAATAAGAAAAGTTTTAACTGAATATGATTAAATTACTACATAAATCTAATACTATTTATTTAAATATGATAGACAAGAAGTAAATGATCCTTCAACAGTTTTCTTCTTTTCAACAAATTTTTGGAATAGTGTCGAGTTGATGTAATAAATAGATTTTTTGTTCAACAGAAATATTTTGTTCAGATATGTTTTTGTCAACAATATTGCATCAAAATGTGGTGAAGCGGAAAGTTTTCAATTCCTATAAAAAGCTTCTAGCTTTATACAGCTCAGCTAAAAAAAAAAAAAATTCAGAATAAAAAGTTACCTTTTTTCTGCCTCTAATTTGTCCATCCTTTTCCACAACCTATTGACAAGGGCTTCTTGCTCTTGTTCTAAAGTGTTTTCTAATTCAACTTTTTCTCTTCTTAGCTGCTCCAAGTTATTTTGCTTTCCATGAGTCTCAGCTTCTAACTTTTCTATTTTCCGCATCAACTTATTAACAAGAGCTTCCTGTTCTTGCTCTAAAGTCTGTTCTAATTGCACCTTTTCCTGTCTTAACTGAAAAAGTGAAATAATCACTATCAAGCTATTTACTTTGATGATGAATTAATATATTTATAATTAGTATGATAAAGTATATAAAAAAAACAGGAAACAAAACCATAAAATCACAAGAAAAATTGAGATTTTTATAGCCAGGGGTCTGTCTAGGTTTTTCTGAGAGGTACCTATTTTGTGAAAATTTAGACATAATTTGTGAAAAATTAAAAATTATATTAAAAAATCAACACAAAAATATGGATTTATCGTTTCTTAAGGGATACAAAAATAAAATTTTAAGAAAAAGTATTTTGTGAAACTACCGTTTTTCCTAAAATTGAATTTGTGAAACTACCGTTTTTCCTAAAGTTGAATTTGTGAAGGTACCGCTAAACGGTAGTAAATTCGGCTTGGACAGACCCCTGATAGCACATTCTTTATAACAAGTATGTCAATAAATTAGAACTAATAAAAACCCAATGTAATAAATTAAAATTAACTGTTAAAGAAAAATAAAACATTACTTTTAATGCAGTATATCAAGTTGCAACTATGAAACACTTTTAAAATGACCTTATAAATTTGTCATCGTTCCTTCCAGACGATTTTTTTTAGATACAAGCAACTACTTATTCTACAAAAAATTAGTTGACCACCCATTTGCAAATATTTTTATGCATAGGATAAGAAGATTATGATTCTGGCTGCTCACTTAAGTTTCAAAAACTGCGTGTACAGTTTCTTCCCAGATCACTTTGCTTTGCTCACTTATTTAACTTCTTCAAAACACAATGGGACGGACTAACTACTAATGATTTGAGTTACAAAATGTGAGATATTTAACAAACACAAATTATCAAACATTCTCATATTTAACAAACATTCTCACTCAAGTGAAATAATAAGTTCACCAAAAAAATTCTTAGCAGATGAGTAAATAGATAAGCAATTTTCAGTGTGCACAGTTAAAAACCACAGAAGCAAATTGAAAGGAGTTTACAAGCAGTTTTGAGAAAGTTAATATATTCATAGTCAGCTTCAAACGAAGAAGTTTAACACAGAATCATTACACAAGTGATGATCGAATAAATGAAAATATTAAGAATCTCTCATTAATTTAAATTATTTGTGTTAACTTCATTAATAAATATAATCCAATTTTTCTTTTAAATGAAGACAGGTCAATATCTTCTAAAAATACGAAATTTTTATAAATCTTTCAGAAATATATAGATTCTGTATCATCACCCAACCATGGCCAAGCACCTAACTCCATATTTACTGCTCTATCTTTTAATGGAAGGAATGCCACGTAATTTTGACACTGGTCAGACACAGAGGTGCAGAAAACTCCCAAAGCCAAATATTTTCCCAAAACAGTTTTTTTTTTTGTTCAAAATTTCTTTAAAAATTGTGGTGCTTTTCTTTTTGATTTAGTTATAATAACGCTTTCAAAATATTTTTGGAAAGTAAAGTTTGCATATTGTTAAAATTTTCTGATAATTTTTTCCTTAACAAAGAAAAAATTCATTTCATTTTTTTTTTTTGCACAATTCTTAGTTAAATTAACATATGTGTTAAAAATAATATAATACAAAATAAATATAAGGTAAAACTAAATTTAAGGCCCCACTTAAAATATTTTTGGAAAGTAAAGTTTGTAATTGTCAAAATTTTCTGATAATTTTTTCCTTAACAAAGAAAAAATTCATTTCATTTTTTTTTTGCACAATTCTTGATTAAATTAACATATGTGTTAAAAATAATATAATACAAAATAAATATAAGGTAAAACTAAATTTAAGGCCCCACTTAAAAACTTAAGTTTATGAGTAACATAAAGTTAAGGCACTTTGATGATTTTCATCACTCTATCACCTTGTTTAAAGATATTTTTTTATTGATGAATTCCAATCAACAAGTGTTCAAACAGAAACATTTACATTTTGAGAAATACAACAATATTTTGTAATTAACTCCAAAAAGTCAAATGAAAGTAGTTGATAGGTAAAAGAAATTTTTTTAAATTGTTCAAATATGAATCAAGATGTTTCGATTTTTTAAGTCACGTTAATATTAAATATGACATGTAATTTCGAAATCGCATGAATATGAATTGCAATGTGACTTTCAAACCTACAGATAAGCTAATGTTTGTTGGGATCTTCCATGTAATTCCACTCACTGGCGCTAGTATCGCGGTTGTGATGTAACTGCAACTGTGTTTACATTGTATGTTTCAGTTTCGNTGATTAAATTAACATATGTGTTAAAAATAATATAATACAAAATAAATATAAGGTAAAATTAAATTTAAGGTCCCACTTAAAAACTTAAGTTTATGAGTACAATAAAGTTAAGGCACTTTGATGATTTTCATCACTCTATCGCCTTGTTTAAAGATATTTTTTTATTGATGAATTCCAATCAACAAGTGTTCAAACAGAAACATTTACATTTTGAGAAATACAACAATATTTTGTAATTAACTCCAAAAAGTCTATAAATGAAAGTAGTTGATAGGTAAAAGAAAATTTTTTAAATTGTTCAAATATGAATCAAGATGTTTCGATTTTTTAAATCACATGAATATTAAATATGACATGTAATTTTGAAATCGCATGGAATATGAATTGCAATGTGACTTTCAAACCTACAGATAAGCTAATGTTCTAGTTTAAAATCAGGTAAATAAGAATTGCAGTATTTTATTTTTATAAATGGTGTGAGAAAACAATCATGCAAATATGAAACACATTTGATTTTAAAATTAGGTGAATACAAATTGTAAACAATGTAAAAACGAGTTTTCAGAATATTAAAATTGCGTGAATACGAATCACCACGTCTAATTTCAAAATCACATCCATTCAAATTATAATTTTTAATCGCAAGTAAAGGAATCGCGATATTTAATGTCTTTAAATGGCATGGAGCTATGACTTTTTCATAAATCGCATTAATACGTCGTTACTCACTGAGGGAGTTCATAAAATCACATCGTAGATAATGAAAAGCAAAATTTTGTTTGAAAAAGCTGAATGTTTAATTTTACTTAAAAATGAATAACTTATCAAGGATGAAATTAATTTATTTTCGATTCTGAAAAAGAAAATACCAAAATAAAGTTATTAAACTTTTTTTTAAAGAGGAAAACTTTAGTAAAGTTAAAAATTTTTTACTATAAAAACTTTTGTAGCATTTTTTTTATTTGACCAAAGGCTTTGAACTAATTTCAAACCAAATTCATGCAATCATACATATTTCACATCCCTGGTACTCCTCTTTTGCTCTCCTAATTTCCACTCCACAACTAATGAGGAGACTTTCAGCCATGACAGATTTAATGCTGCGTATACACAGACCCCAGATTTCCAGCCAGTGGTGTGAGAGACGACTTAACCAACTGCGCCATCGGTAGATTACTTTATATACCTTTAAATTAAAACTAAAAAAAAAACCCTTTAAAAAGGATTGCGAACTCATTTCAAGACGTGACAGTATGTTGTTGCAAAAATCATTATTCCACAATTAATAATTTTCGCAAAATCAAATAAAGCAAAAAAGACCCTTAAATTTAGAAATAAAATAACTATAGCAGAATGCTCCTCAAACTTTACATTTCTTTAAAGAAAAAAAACAGGATTTCATATTTTTTTCCTTATTCTATAGCATTGTGCTCTGAGAGTGAAAAGAAAGTTTCTGGTAAGTGACCTAAAACTTATAAAATTCTAAAAAAAATAAAATAATAAATAAATAAATAAAGAAAATTAACTAACTTGATTGAGTTTTCTAGATAGATCATTAGTAAGACACTCCTCTTCCTGTTCATAATTCAGAGCCAATGTCTCTTTTTCTTTCTTTAGAGTTTTAATTTGTTTCAATAAAGTATTACTGATAAACTCCTCTTCTTGTTCTGCCTTTGCTTGCTAAATTATAAAAATAAAGAATTAACAAGCAATTAAATCTGGAAATTATAAACACATTAAAAAAAGGATCGCTTAATAATTTTAAATAAATTAAAAAATAAATATATAATGCAGTTTAACACCAATTAAAAACACAAGCTTCTTTAAAAAAAAAAAAGATTATAAGAGAAATGAATGTTTAATTTAATTGGTAGCACATTAAATATCTTTAGTAATAAAACAAAAAACCAAATTTTTTTTCCATTTTTGGGAAAGTTTCTTACCATCTCCTACTACTTGTAACATTCATAAGTAAAATTTATTAATGTCATAAATCAAATTTTAAAGATGTTTTACGAACACATACATATTTCATAGTATATTTAGCGTGTCTTCTACATATTTATCTTAGAACATTAAAGAAATATTTAATGGATGTTTTATGTAACCCAGAAAGTCTTAAAACTGTTGCCTGTCTTGACATAAAAAGTGCTTAAGCTCATGCACTAAAGCCTATTTACAGGAGAACTGAAAAAAGGCACCTGAAAGCAGTCTTCAGGTGTCACAAGCCTGAAAAAAAGGCTTGCCAAATTTACACCATTCCTGATATTAAGAACCCCATCTTGGAAGAATAGGTGAAAAATAACCAAGTGACGCAAAGAGTCAATCATCACACATCATCTTTGCTAACAATGCTTGCCGAAAGGCAGGTAACGAGAATTGAAGATGACAAATTGAGTTTTTGTTACTCTAGCAATGTCACGAGCCTGATGACAGGCCTCATATAAATGGGGAGTTACGGCACGTATAGTAACTGAAAAATAAAATGAAGAAAAAAAAAAGAAAAAACATGTTCTACAGGCTACAGGGAAAAAATTTTTTTTCTTCTTCCTCACACCAAAAGTTCTTACTTTTCATGATCCCTGTGGCATAATTTTTTCGAGCTATCTGTGACAAAACTGTCTAGCACTAATATTTTTCTGCAAGATACTTTTAGTAATAACAAACATATATGTTACTAATTTAATTAATAACTACTAACTAACTATTAATAATTACTAATTTAATAAATAATTAACAAAAATGCTGTGTGTACAAAACAATTCTTTTTAAAATTGAACATGTAATAATTTTTTATTCTAATATTATGGGTGATATTCTTGCATTTTTTTGAGAGCAGGCAGAGTAATGCACAAATTATTTCCTTCCTTGCATTTTATAAATAGTAATCATCACAGTAAAAAAATAATTGAAACCGCTGACGAAAAAAAAGGTCGACAACGAAATCACATGAATCGGACTCCTCGAAAAAGTGTAACTCAAATGCAGAATAAATAATTGTAATATAGCATAAAAAATATCAGATTTAAGAATTATTGATAAATCAATTGCAATAACTGCCAAAAATTTAATAAAATCATTGCCTTAAAAAAGTAAATACTCAAATGCACAATTCCAATTTCCCATATTGTTCGAAATATTTCGGGATATATAAAAACCTCGAGAAAATCAATGTCAATAACTGACGAAAATACAATTGAAACATTATATTGATTTATGATACTATTGCCGTAAATTGAGCGCGTCAAAAAGTGATCTAAATGCATGTTTCAAATATTACATGTAAATTTCTGCAAAAAAAAAAAAAAAAAAAAAAAAAAAAAAATTTTTTACTTTTCAAAAGAAAAACCTTTCTGTAAGAACTCTGACGTTCTGCAACAATGTAGCAGAGATTCTGCCACGGGGTTCATGATCAAGATCTTCATTCTCACAATAAAAGTTTTGTAAGTCAATGTTGATTTTCAGATATCAAAATGCAATGGGGAAAAAATTAACAAAGTTAATGCTAATAATTTATTTTTAGATTCAAGAGTTTTCTCAATAATTAATCCAACTTTTTGATTTTGAAAGACCTCCCCCCCCCCAAAAAAAAAACTTAAAACTTTTTTAAAAGCAGATGTAATGTCTAAAAATAGCTCTATGAAAGAAAAGGAAATCATATAGGTAGGAGATCATAATAAGAGAAAAAAATAATGCTTATAAAAAGACAGAACATGCAGAAGATGATTATAAAATTAGATCTTTTTATTCTAATGAAAAAAATAAACTTTTAAAAATGCATCTTATATCACACTGTAATTTGAGATCATTTAAAAATTCTTTGAACAAAACTCATAATTATACAATCAAATATTATTTTAGAAAAATAAAATAGTACAAAGATTTTAATGCTTAGTGTTAGTGCAAACAAATAATAGATGTATTTAAAAATAAAATCACTGTTTAATCTCTGTCAAACATTATACTACAGAAATGAAATGATTTAATAGATGCAAAGTAAGAGTAAAGAATTAAAAACAAAGTTTTCTATTTTCTTCACATAATTTTATATAGGTTTTTTGATAAAGCAATTGTGCAAAATTACTTTAATAAAAATAAAATAAATGTGTCTGTCTGTAAGAGAGGTTTTTTTTCTGACAAACTTTTTTTTTACAGCCAGGTCAAATAAACGATCATGATTTCTAATAATTACATCTATGCAGATTCTAGATCTGTGGTTCCCAATGATGTTTCGCAGAAATCTAGCTTTACATGAAAGAGTAGAAGAGGTTCTGTGAGTTAGTACTTTTTAGTCATGAGGTTTGGAACCTCAGTTATATTTAAATCCAACCTATAACTCATTATTTATTTTATTTTCTGGTTGCCTTTGTGAAATTATTTCAAATGAAATGCCAATGAAATAGAAATAGCTTTTTTTAGACTTATAAAAAAAACAAGCATTTATAAAATATTGCATTAGAATTTCCTATCACGCTTTTCAAATCGAAATAAATTATCGAAATTAAAATAAATATGTTTCTCTAATAATCATTTCAAACATTTATAGCAGTTCTCTTAAGTTTTCATTTTGATGTAAACCATAATTAGGATTATTTTATTCATTTTCAGTTTATGTATATACACCAAAGATAAATTTATAACTAGACTAGAAAGAGCACAAGGACTATAAATTTAACTGTCAGATATAAAACCTTGTTTAAGATTATTAAAGGTAAAACATTGAAAAATCTTCATTCCCCTAATGAAATATTTCAAAATTAGTCTTCTAAAGGTTATAGTGTTCACAATTACTTGATTATTTAGAGTTCCATAGCAAAAAAAAATTAATATATAAAAATTGGGAACCACTGGTTATGTGGTTGCGTTCAAAATAACTTTTTTAGAAGACTCTCAATTACTTTTATAAATTTAAAAAAAAATCTTTTTGACATAATTTTTGATAATAGTAAAAACTAAAAAAATAAAGTAACGGTGTAAAGATAATTATTAGCTATTATAAATATGAAGTATTTATAAATAAACATACATGTAAAATTATTAAATAATTATAAATATTATATTATTAATTATTATAAATAAAAATGTTTAAAATCGCAATGCATCTAATTCGTTACCTTGTTTAATTATTAAAAATAAAAATCATATTACGAAAAAAATAAATTAACAATCATCTTAATTGTTACATGTAAAATCAAAAATTTTTTAACACCTATTTTAACTCCTCCTTTCTCCAAGGCATGAGATTACAAAAAATAGTTATGAAGTCCTCTGTTCTCAAGTTCATTTTGCAGTTTTGTATGAATAAGACCAAAATTTGAAATTATTAATTTGATTGATGCTGATCTGCACAGACGAGAATAAAGGCGTAAATTATAACATAATATAATAACATGTAATTAGGGAATTTATTCTAATAACTGTAGTACTAATTAAAACCTTGAATTGATTGATTGAAAATTTACTCATTCAAACAAAGATTTATATTTTTCATAAATTAAAATCAGTATACTTATCAAGAAATATATTATAGTCATGATTTATTGGAATCATTCATGTGCATATAAGCAAGAGTGCAGAAAATTCTGAGCCTAATATTTCCTCTGAACAAAGTTTTTTTTTTGTTCAAAATTTCCTTAAAAAAATTCAATTATTTTATCAAAATATTTTGGGAAAATAAAGTGAATATAAGAAAAAAGTTAAATATTTTTCTTAATAAAAAAAGAAAGAAATCCATTTGGTGTCTTGGCGATATTAGTTGATATAATAGATCAAGATATGGAAATAGATCCAAGTGAATGAATTTATTCATTTATTTTAGAAATTATCAAGAGATTATTTTATTGCAATTGTGAGGGGGGTATCTTTAAGAGGGAAAGAAAAATTGGATGACCTTCTCACCTACAAGAAAATAAAGTTAACAATATTTTCTGCCTGTGGGTACGTTTTGATTTCTCTTATCCTTAAACTAACAACATAGATTAAAAAATATGAAAAATTATATTTAATCGCCATGAAAAAAAAGATATATTTAAATTTTACTTGTTTAACTATTAACGAATAGCCTTTAAAAAGTGTCACTTAAATCTCTAAACCAATTTTAAATGTCTAGAATTAATACAAAAAACTTGTGCAACACGCAGGTTTTTTTACTTATTTAAAAAAAAAAAAATAGCTGATGATTACAAAAATAAAACTGTTTCTATCTACCCCTGATAATTAAGTCAGGTGATTTTGAATTAAAACGATTACAATCATACAGCTGAACTCGATTCTAAGTTAAACTGTAAGTTTATTCAAACTTAAATAGTAGTTTCTAAATGTTTTTTCTTCAGTATTGTCATGTTTAATAATATTATCACTTTAAATAAACCTACAATATTCACACTCGCTTGTCTTAGGGCTCTATTTTCTTCTTGAAGGTTCTTAACTCTTAATCTATAAGTTTCCAGTTCCATTTTTAAAACTCTATTTTCTTGCTGTAAAGATTCGATCCTTTTTTGAAATTGTTCTCTAGAAGCTGGTGAAGATGGAATTAACATTCCACCATCTACCGAGCTACTATCACTCTCACTAGCGCTGTCTGCCATTGTTTACTTAAAATTTCTGACTCCTAACTCTCATTGTGATACATGAAATGAACCAAGAATTAATCTACATATTTTACATAGTGTTATAACTTAAAATTATACTAATGAAAGTAAATTTTTAATTATACAACCCACGCAAACACTGAAATACGCATTTTGTCGACAACTCGTAGTCTCATCTGAAAAAAACATGTTGCCAAATAAAAACACAGTAAAAATTTTTTTAAATTTCTTAAATATTTTGCAATTTATGTAAAAATCCTGAATTTAGTAACAGAAATTTTCACAGAATCTTTAAAAACTTAAAAAATATTTAGAATTTCGATAAAATGTGCTCTTCATTTGTTTTAATTAATATTTTTAAAAATGGCAACATGATAATATTTTCGGCTGCTGTTTTTTTTCTTCTGTTTGATATTTTGATTTTGAAAAAGTCAAAGTAATAAAGTTCATCAAGCTATAGTCGCTAATTGCTTATTCATTAATCTAACAATCACACAGATGTTTTGAGCTTATTGAAATATAAATTAATAAATTAACCATTTTAGCTGCACACTATTGTTATGTGAATATTTTGTTCCGTAAATTAATCAACCTATAATGTTTCAATGTATTAAAGGAAGCATTTGTCTCTCCTGGATTTTAACTCTTAATTTAATATTTTCCGTTTTAACTCGTAAGTTAAAGAATAAAAAAATCATCCAATTTTTTTATTTTTTTTATTATTTAGAGTCAAAAGCGACAGTCAGTTTCTGTTTTTAATTCAATTTTTCGAATTTTACGGAAAATATTATAAGGATCCTTCAAACCTGTTCTGTAAATTGACACAATTTATTCTTGATTTTGATAATTAAATAACATGAAATTTACTTATGTAGGAAACTTAATTAATTAATTAAATTTCAGTTTAAGATTAAGTGTTAACCTGTAATAAATATATGTATATTTGTGTTTGTTGTTAAAAATAATGTCTTCTGTCAATCGATAAAATTTTATTTAATTTTATTTTTATAAAATTGTAATTAATTTATGTGTGAGTTATCTCATTGTCAGTGATTTTTTTGGGGGATTTTTCTGTATCATGATCTGCTACAATCACTAAAAATGTGATTTTAAACTTGCAAATTTTTTTTAAATAAAAGCATTTTTGTGAGGATGGCTACAAGTTATACCTTTCGAGTTAGTCCCTTTCTGTGATGTTGTTTTTTTAGTTTCTCCGGGGCTGCTGCCCGGCAGTTGCCAAAACTTTATGATTATTCTATCACAAAAGTCTCCCCTATTTAAAATAATGTAAAAAAAATGTATCTAAAAGTAAAATAATGTTTTTTTGAACCCGCGTTTTTTGGACAAATGATTAGGTTCAAAAAAAATTTAGCATTAACAATATTTTGCAATATTAATATTTCTCTTGAATAAAATTCACTGAATATATATTTTAAATATCCATCTTGCAAAACTTAAATTTAATGAATTCATTAAACTCATAGCTATTCATAGCATTATGAGCATCAGCTAATATTTAAAAACTTTTTCACACAGTAAAATTAACGAGCGTTATTATTTCTTTCTTAATTAATCAAATTTTTATGGTTATGTCAAATTGGAACCTAGAGAAATTTTATCTTTTTTATTTATTTCATACAAAATATTTATGATTAGATTAATGCCAGTGTTTAGATTTTTTTTCATAATATCTTGTATATTTTTCTAATTATATATATTTCCTTCAGAATACTTTTAAAATCGATTAGTTGGTGAACTTGAGAATAAAACCAGCTTCAGCATAAGATTGAGTGTTTTTTATTTATCTTTTAACAGTGCAAATATAAAATTACAAAGAAATGCTGGCGATAAAACATTCAGTTGGTATTTAAAAAGAAAAAATATTTAAAATTCAATTTAATTGTCAGTAATCCCATTATTCATCTATATATAATGCTATAAAAATTATGCTGTAAGTATGCTAAACAACTGAACTTTTACATTTGAATTAATGATGGCCTTTAATTAATCATTTTAATAGGATATCCCCACAAAAGGAAAGCACCATATTATTTAAAAAATTTTTGTACACTTCTAAAAATTTTTTACAATTGATAAAATAACGATCTATTAAATTAACCAAGTTAACCTAAATGTAATATTTCATTTTAGGTAGTCAAACTGTTATAGCTGGCCATCTATCCCGCACGCCTCATAACCTTTCATGTTATGAGTGTAATACCTTAAATCATGGAGATACATGCCGAAATCTTCAATACAACAACTCAGCACTACAGAGATCCTGTAAAACAAGTCAGATGTTTTGTTCTGTAAGTATGATATTTAGTTTATATATTTAATTAAAAGTGAAATTAAAATAGTACACTTAGAATTGTTTTGTTTAGCTTATTAGGTTGGTATTTTTTTTTTTTAATTGTGAATTTTTTTATTATATCTATTTTATGCATTAATTTGTAAATGTTTGAGACTATACTTACATAAGTTGTAATTTTTTGAGTTGAATTTCTGATTAATTTTCTATAAGAGTATTTTGTAAAGTTTCTGAAAATTCTGTTGGTAATTTTTTCACAATCAGAAACTTAAATGCTTTTTGATTTTAACTGAAGTTTGAATTTCGGAAAATTATTAAATGAATAAATTTCATGCATTATAATTTTTCATAAAAGGGGAAAAATTGAAGTATTTAGTGTTTGGAAGATGGTCAGTGTAATAATTTATGTGATTAACTTATGAAAATTATAACTCTTTATTTAATTAACTTATAAAAATATCATATTTGAAGAATACTTTTTTGTTTTCTACATTGGTTTTATTGTTTAGTTTTCAAATTCTGCTTCTCTTAAGGTTATAATTTAAAAATAATTTAATTCTTATTTTCGTTTTAAAAAAAGTTAAACTTGAGTATCAAGTGTAATAAAATAACTAATGAGTATATTGTAGTGTGGTCTAAATCTTGTATTTAAATTTTATTTCTTCATCTTAGCTTTTTTGTTTACTTTTTATATATTGATTTGTTATTGTAATTTTTCTTAATAAAATAATATAGCATGTTAATAAAGTTTAATATTTATCTTAATTGTTATGAAAATGCATTTGAATGTAACTACTATGATCATTTTAAGGAACTTATAAATCTCCCATTTAAATATGTTTTGTTTTTTCCTATATTGGCTTAATTTGAATAGGCATTAAAATTTGATTTTTCTTAGTGAATATACATAAGATGCAATTTATAGTATGATATATATGTTCTTAACTCTTAATCTATAAGTTTCCAGTTCCATTTTTAAAACTCTATTTTCTTGCTGTAAAGATTCGATCCTTTTTTGAAATTGTTCTCTAGAAGCTGGTGAAGATGGAATTAACATTCCACCATCTACCGAGCTACTATCACTCTCACTAGCGCTGTCTGCCATTGTTTACTTAAAATTTCTGACTCCTAACTCTCATTGTGATACATGAAATGAACCAAGAATTAATCTACATATTTTACATAGTGTTATAACTTAAAATTATACTAATGAAAGTAAATTTTTAATTATACAACCCACGCAAACACTGAAATACGCATTTTGTCGACAACTCGTAGTCTCATCTGAAAAAAACATGTTGCCAAATAAAAACACAGTAAAAATTTTTTTAAATTTCTTAAATATTTTGCAATTTATGTAAAAATCCTGAATTTAGTAACAGAAATTTTCACAGAATCTTTAAAAACTTAAAAAATATTTAGAATTTCGATAAAATGTGCTCTTCATTTGTTTTAATTAATATTTTTAAAAATGGCAACATGATAATATTTTCGGCTGCTGTTTTTTTTCTTCTGTTTGATATTTTGATTTTGAAAAAGTCAAAGTAATAAAGTTCATCAAGCTATAGTCGCTAATTGCTTATTCATTAATCTAACAATCANGGGGGGGGAATAAAAATAATAATAATAAAAATATCAAACAACTGGGGGGAAAGGAAAAAATATAGATAAAATTTTTTTTAAAAAATCCGGAAAATAAAAGGTATAATCTTTTCATCAGCCCACAAAAGATTATATCTTTTATTTTCCGGATTTTTTAAGAAAATTTTATCCTTTTTTTTCTNAGTTACTAGTTAGAAAAATTAATTTTTTTTTTTTTTTAATTATTATTTTTCTTCCCCCCCCTTTTTTTATATGTCTGTAATTTTCCTTTGTTTTAGCTTCATTTTGAACTTATCTAATGAGTTCTGTTTACTTGCTGCTTTGCAGCTTATGCGCAATAAATAAAACTTATTGTTTTTCTTAAACAATAAGTTTACTTCTGTTTACTTTATTTTTTTTTGTATTTATCTTGTTGTGTGTATATATATATGAAATAAAGTACTTAAATCGTGTGTTTTGAGATAGTATATAATTTGTTGTATTTTAGGTTATTCTATTTCGATATTCTGCTGATTCTAGTGAGTATTTCTTTTGGTCTATCGAGCGACGTTGTGAAGAAACATGTCATGAAGGTTGCAACACTGTTGGTGAGCGGGTGAAGCTTTTTCTCTGTCGATCTTGCTGCAATAAATATCTCTGCAATTATGGCAATTTTGGAACAGAAAATGCTACCCCAAATGATAAATATTTAATTTTAATTGCAGGAATGGCACTATACAGATATTTTACATTTTTTAAATCCTTGGAAACTTTGCTTTAAGAGATTGTCCTTAATTATAATCACATATAATATTTATGTATATGACCTCTTCATAATGATGTGTAATTTACCTGAGCCTGAGAGATTTTTAAAGTGTACATTTAAATATTTTTCTGGTAATGGATGTCTTTAAGAACTTTACATTTTGTTAAAAGTAGAAAAATATTTGTAAAAAGTTGTAACAACTATTGATTTAAGTCTTATATTTTTAAGCTTTCTTAAAATCTTATTTATTTACTAAATTTAGTTTTTTTTTTTTTAAATTTATTTTATCTAAAGTATGTAAAGTCTATAATTTTATTTTTTGGAAATTAGGACGCTGTTTCATAAGTATTTAATTTAGTAGCAGTACTGACAATTATTTAAAATGTATTAAAAATATTTTTTAACACTTTATTTGTGTAACTATAATAAATTTTATCATCATTTTTAATTTTCTTGTTGTAAATTATATTCCTTAAAAATATTTAAATATTCAATGCATTTAATATTATATACAGTACAAAGTCCCACATCTGGAAGTCTCTTTACGGGAAAGGTCTATTTTCCATACACTTTTTATAACTGAAATAAATACATATCTTTTCCCTTTTTTTAAAAATTATGTTTACATTCTGTTTAAAAAAATATTATTAATTTTCTTTTGTTTTTTTTTTCTATTCCTAAATATTTATTCTGCTTCAATAATTGCATTAAAAGAGTTATTGAAAAGATGAGAGCAGTTGAAGCTGAATATAAATGGTGTTTAAAAAGAACAGCAGTAGACAAGCTGTGTTCCCTTTTAAAATATAAATGTTTTTACTGTAAAAATCTGCTTTATTCAGTTCCTTGTTTTATACAAATTTTTTTTATTAAATCAGATTCATTTACTTTTGGAATATAAGGCTCCTTTTTTATTGTTATTTTTAACTAATTATCTGCCAATCTGGAAAGGATAAGAAAGAGAAAACATGTTTGTATTCATTAAAGAGAAAATTCAAATTATTGCCTGCTCATTTTTATAAAATTTTGAACCTATAAGAAAACTTTTATGCATAAAATTGATGTTAATTATCATCAATTTGTTATTTTGTTATTGAATAACACATGTTATGATGTTTGTTTACCTTAAAGACCTATTAACAGGAAAAATCCATTTCCCAGACTTGCCGAAGTCCCGAGGATCCCAGAGATATGGGATTTTCCACTGTATAATATATATGTATATATATAATTAATCATTAGTTCAATAATATTAATTCTTATTTGTAAAGTCATTAAAAAATTTTTTTTAATTCTATAATAAATCAAAAATCACAAATAAATATTTATTTAAGAAAAAAATATGCACATGGAATTTTTATGCTTCTCTTGAAATTTTTAATATGTACTAGTATTACATCAAGTAGATTTATGTCTTTAGCAGATGCTTAGATGCTATGAAAACTTTTAAAATTAACTTTATATAACTTGAAAAAATCAATAAATATAATGTGTTCAACTCGAATGATGAATATATTAGTATAAAATAAAAAAGAGAAACAGGTATTGGCAATGCAATTTGTAAATTGTTTCATCAGACTTTTTATATTTTGATAAAATCATAAATTTTAATGTAATTATAGCAAAAGAATTAAAAATATCTAATTAGTAGGATTTAACTAATTAGATATAAATTAATTTTTTCAACATTAAATAATTTACTTAAAACTACTAAATCAAATTATTTTTGATTACTGAATAAAATTGATTGTCTGACATTTTTAACTTTACTTTGTAGAATCAATTTAAGTTTTTTATCAATTTACATACTACTTTATTGAAAAAAAATATTTCTATTGAATTATATTAAGATTAAAAAAATTTATTTAAAATAAAATTTTTTTTGTTTCATTTCTTTTATTAGTCAGGTAAGATTAATTAGATGTATAATTAACATTTTCATTTACATAACTTTTTTAAATTAAAAAAAGAAATAAATAAATAGTATTTTTTGAATAAAATTGAAAATAAATCATTCAATGAATTTAACACCTTATAAATCTTAAAATATTAGAATTCTTCAATTAATTATCTCTATAAAACAAATACAAATAGTAATATAAATAAATAATTAAATACATCTGAAAAAATTTATTGTTTAATGGTCAAGATAAAAAAATTTTTATATTGGTGGTACTATTCATATTTTATTATTTGAGAAATTTGCTTTGAATTTATACAGTTAGTTATCAGTTAAGCACTTTATTAACATTTTAAAAAATGTAAAAAGTGAGTTTTACCAATTTGGTAAGTGAAACACTCATTTAAAAAACACGAGTTTTAACATTTGAATTTTATATTTTTTTTAACTTGAAAATTCATTCAATATAAATTAAAGGAAGCTAATTTTATTTTACTATGCGTATATATTACATGTATTGTTGATTTTTTTTTTAGGTATTTAAGGTGTAGTTCATGTTTGTAAATTTTATAACTTAGTCTAGTTTGTAGTCATTATTATTAACTTATCTTACATATTTTTTGATCAACAGATTATTTTGCTTCTGAATATAGAACCGTACTAAATTAGAGTTAGAATTCTTCATACTACTTCTCCCAGGGAATGTTTCTATTGCAAGTAATATGCAATATGTAATTTTATCTGCAATTAACACAGATGCATTATATTTTGACACTTTGCTAATTTGCACTGCATATGAATGCTAAGTGCCTCTTTTCTAAATTAGAATAGATACTTACAATTCCAGTTACATTTTGATGACATATTAACATTATTAAATATCTAATGTCAAATTTTACAATATTGAAATATTATTTTGAATCTTTCCCACTATTTCAGTTTAGCAATAATTTTTTTCATTGCATGTTTAATGCTTGACTTTATTGTGGTGCACTCAGCTATTACCTTTATACTAATTGCAGTCAATTCGTGATAACTCCTCCCTATTATAATGAAATTTAATGCTAGTTTTGGCTCTTGACTTAAAAATAATGAAGATTTCTTTTCGGCTTATGCCTTACAGGTAAATACCATTTAACGTTATTATTTCTCTCTCTTTTTCTTTTTGCTATTGTGGTTACAAGCATTCAGAAGAATACCATACTTTTGAGCTATATTTTTCTTTTTCATGATTTGATATATATCCTTATCTTAAGTAAGATTAATGTTAACTTCCAAACTAAGAGTTTTTAAATTTTGCCAACAAAGGAAGTACGCATCTGCAAAATTCCTATTAAAACAAAAGTAAACTGAAAGTAAAGAGCCTGGTTGAAAACTTTAAATAAGATACAAATTTTCCATCTGATCTACCCTTATGATGAAATATGACTCATTAATGTTTAAGTTCATTTACTTTTAAACTAATTAAACTTTTCAGCTGATGTGTATTCATGGTGTAGTGGTTAGGCTGTCCGCGTTCTACCTGAGAGGACCTCTCTACCACCAGCATGGCAACTTATTATGACCAATATCTATTCAAAAATTATCTACGAATTGCCACCTGATCCAAGGTTTTTTTGTTTGTTTTTTTTGTTGCCAAAACGCACCCTATATAAATTATCATTATTAATTTGTTTGATAAATATGGCATTATTATGAATATTTTGTAAAAGTTTGAAAGTTACTTTATTTCAAACTTGTTTTTGAAATTTTTTCTTCATTTATGAAATGAACCTTATAGTGTTTACCATATTTTGAAAAATGCCTTACATTAATAGCATTAACAGTTTTTTAATTGCTTAAAATTTTTAATTTTTATAAAGTGGCTTAGTGCAATAGACTTAATCAGAAAATTAAGTCTATTGCACTAAAATTGCAAGCAACAGGGCAAATATTTTTTATTTTTTTAGTTGTGGCTAATATTTTTCTTTACTTTTTTCAACTACAAATGATTAAATCATTTTTTGAAAAAATTGAGTTGGAGTAAAACTTGAGAATAATTAACATGAAGGTAAAGATAAAATTGATGCAACCTCATAAAAACAACCCAGTTATATACATTTGAGTTATTATATTTCAAGTTATAGCGAATTGACTGTATAAGTTTTTCATCTGATGATTAATATAAGCTTCGCTATTACTTTACTATTACAATGTAGTTATAATGTGAACTCTTTTAACTTTTTAGAAAACTCTTTTAACTGTTAATAGAATAAAATAACAAGTAAGATTACTATTTAATTAACAGGGTCTATAACTCATTTTTCTTTTATGTATTCTTTCCCTTTTAATATATCTCTTCCTAAATTTGTAATAATTGAAGTCTCTAATTACCTCATTTTAATTTTTTGTCTATTTTTACAATGTATGTAAAACTATCCTTTTGCTTTTTAATAAGTTATTTAATTTTTTTAAATTGTTTTTGGCACTGACACTTTTTTGCTGTCTTGAGTGAATAAAGTGTGCATTTATTTATATTTTTTGCCATAATATAATTAAATCTATTGTGGGATTTTAGAAAAGGGACCAATGCTGCTATTAGAGAAGCCTCATATATTTACATGCATTTTATTTATTATTTAAATTTTTTTCTTTAATTAGTCATTATCAGTAGATTCTTTTTAAAAATGATAATTCATTTGCTACAATTGTTTGCAGTTGTTTTCAATTAGCAGTTGAAATATTTTCAAAAAGATTATGTAACGAAATTAAATAGCACTTCTCATTGTACAGTGCGCCAAAAAAAATGACCACCCTAAATAACTTTTGATCTAATGATCAGATCTTCTCGTTCTAAGACTCATTCTTGTTGACTCGAGGGGGTTACTTTGATTTAAATATAGAACTTCTTTAAAATTCTATTTTTCTGGAACCATTCAACTGATTTTGCTCAAATTTTGTATTTTGCCAAATTTGTATTTGTAAATTTTCTATTTGCAATGTTACATACTTTTAAATAATGTAAAAAATTACATACCTTACAATTCAAAATATTTCTCGACTATTTTGAAATAAAATAATAAAAAATACTAAATATATGCTGAAATTTATTTTTTGCATAGGTTTATCTTTGGATAAACGAATTTAATAAATGTGTGCAAAAGTTTTTCAATTCTCGAGATATGGTAAGATACACAAAAAGTAAAATTTACCTTAAAGGGTTCAAACTTTGGACCGCTCTCCTGACCAAACTAAAGGGACTATATTTCCCAGATTGTTGCTACATATTTTGGGGATCAGAAACCCAAATCCGTTGAAAAAAGGGTATGTTTATTCAGAGAAAGTATGCTTT